TAACTAGCTCGCTTGTGTAACTAGCTCGCTTGTGGTAAAGTGCGTTATATCTAAATTTTTATAGAAAAATATTAAGGTTTCGCTTAGTTATTTAAAGAAAAACTCGTTAATTTTCGTTAATTTTCCTTGCTAAGAAATCGTGGGGGGTTTGCTTATCTAGGGGGTTCGGTTATTAAGTACGTTAGTGTAGAGAGTTTAATAGTAGAGTACGTTATAGAAAGTTTATAGCTTGTTAGGTACTATTTAAAAAAGAATTCGCGACTTACGGATTATTTATACAGAGCGTGGGCGTTAAGAAATTAAGTATTAAAAATAGGGTAGTTAGGGTGGCTGGGAAGGCGCGCCGGCAGGTGGTTAGTGCCGCCAGCCGGTGATTTACTCTACGCCACACGGAATATTTCCACACTGTGGGTTCCTTCCGCCTACTTGGATACACAATGGCACAATACAAACGCTAATCTAAATAACAACCGGCTTAAAGCCTAAGGCTACACTTCAAGACATTTTAAAGGCATTGAATTGCTTACTCGTCATGGGCGAACAAGTTACATCATACAAAGCAGCCGTGATTACTGTAAGTCAGCAAAACCTTCTCCACAGAAAGCATATCCGCTAAGCTCCGATAGAAATCAGGAAGAGAACCTCGCTTCGAGGTCAGGACGCTTTCTCTACCTGAACTCGGCCCTACTGATGTCCTCGTAAAACTGACTGTGACCGGTGTCTGTGGGACTGACATCGCTCTCGCCAGTGGTCATCTTGGACCGACATGTTCGATTCTCGGCCACGAAGGGGTTGGGGAGGTCGTACAAAGGGGGTCCGCGCTCGACGAAGCCGATGTCCGTCTTGGTCAGAAAGTTGGTGTCGCATGGATTAGAGACGTCTGTGGGGAATGCGATATGTGCCTTCAGGATGGTGGGGAGACGAGATGCGTCCAGCAAGTTCACTCTGGTAGAAAGGTAGATGGCACGTTCTCTGAGTACACAATCGTCTCACACAGATACATTCTGAAGCTCCCACAAGGGATAGCCGATGAACAGCTGGCGCCAATACTTTGCGGCGGTGTCACATCCTACAAGGCCTTGAAGGTATGCGGTGCCATTCCAGGGCAATGGGTTGCAATTTCTGGCGCAGGGGGAGGAGTGGGTGCTTTGGGGGTGCAGTTTGCATTCGCAATGGGGTATCGGGTTGTGGCTATCGACTCAGGTCCGGAAAAGGGCGACTATTGCATGGGGCTGGGAGCTCACCACTATGTCGACGTTAAGAAGGAGCTGAAAGTTTCTGAATCGGTGAAGCAGGTGACGGACGGCAAAGGAGTTGCAGCCGTACTGGTCACGGCCGGGACTGGTGCAGCCTATCAGTCTGCTCTGGACCTACTGGGACCGTTTGGAACCTTGGTGTGCGTAGGAATCCCCCCTCCTTCGCAAGACTTCAAGATCCATCCGCTTGCCCTCATCGACAACGGCTTTCGTATCATAGGCTCAGCCGTGGGAACCAGGGGCGACATCTTGGAGGCCATTGAGTTTGTCCGACGTGGCACGGTCGTTCCGGTTGTAAAGATGGCTAGAATGGAGAGTTTGGCCGATATCGCTAGATTGTCGATGTCGGGAGAGGTATGCTGTCTTCTTAAGATATATCTCTGGCTGTTTTAGTTTTCATCGAGCTAATTTTCACCTCCCCAAGGCTATCAGAAAGTACGTCATCGCCATTGGAGATCCCGCAGATACGACTGAGCTCGAATTTTGAGAGGATAGATCGGGATAACCGCTTTCCATAGAGTTTGCTCATCCGGAAACTTCCTCCTCGCCGTCTAGAAGCCGCAGTAAATGTAGAATCGCCTTCGCTTAGGCGAGTCTTAGACATCAAGAGCGCAATCGTGGCAACATCAATTGAGTTCATTACCCAGAAACTGCAATATCTTCCGCACACTTCGGTACACCGGTTCTTCGGTAGCTGTCTTCTTCTCAACATCAACCTCTGCGGCTATTTCCATGACGTCGAATCCATGGCCCTTTTCTGTCACAATCTCACACATGACCTTTACCCCGAGTCCATCTAGTACTTCCGCGAGCTGAACACTCTGATTAACGCCAACGGCATCATCTTTGTCTCCATGTAGGAAGGCTGCTGGGGGAAAGCCTTTCCGCAGCCCAAATGCGGCAGGGAACAGCTTATGATGTTCGGCGGGAATGGCCCCGATACCACTCTGGCGAATCGACGCAGAGAGGCCGGAACGGTCTGTTAGAAGGTCTGGATAGAGTGCTTCCTGGTGGGAAGTGGCTATCCACAACATGCGTTTGTCCGAAGACGGATTTTCCGGGAAAGGATAGCTATCCAGCGCCTTGTTGTCCTTTGCTGCACTCATCTCACGAAGAATCGTGCTGGTGTCAGATAGTGGGGGGAGTCCCATAAGAGTGGTGCCCGGCTCGATGTAACGAGAATCGGTCAGGTCGAGCATGCCGTAAATTGACAAGAAAGCAAGAGGGCTGGGTGTAGTTAATTGAGTAGCAACGAATAATGCCAGATAGCCTCCTGCACTGGAGCCTGCCACTATTAGGCGTTCAGCGAGATTTCTTGCCACCCAAGTCGCAGAATCCAGGGCATCAGCAACGACATCGAGGCCGCGCACTTCGGGTAGTAAGCGGTAGGAAGGGGTAATGTAGAGCCAGCCGCGACGCAAACAGCCGTTGATGAGCCAGGAGGGAGGAAAGGTGGTTTTTTCTCCGATCATCTATGATAGCATTAAGTAGGGTTTCGAGGACAACTAGACTAGACCATGGGTTCCTTAGGTGCAGAACTCACAAGAAATCCTCTATGGTAATGGATCAATGCCGTTCGAGGACCGGTGCCAGATGTTTCTACTGACAGTTTTGGTGGATGAAAGACATCCAAGGTAAGCTCGAGGTCATCCACCGACTTGTAAACGTAGGTTGAGATTTGTGCGCCGGATACTGCCGCCATTGGATTCAACGGGATTGTTAATTGATGGATCTGAGGGAATGCTGTAGCCCATTTTCGGGCGCCTGAGGTCATTTTTCATCACCTTTCAAGGCCAAGTTCGATGCATACGTCATTGTGGGGTATTTCCCGTGGGTACAGATCCCAAGACATACGTCGCGGGTGATACCCACAGCGCCCGGTGCCTCGTTAGCTGGTAGCCGGGGTGTTGGTAGCTCGTCCAATCGTTGGAAAATAATTCGATCCACTTGGTCAAGACAGACAAGGAAGTTTCTGAGAGATTTTTCAGACCCGGAATTACCAACAGAACAACTCCATGCCTTTCTCTCCAAGTTGCTCATCCTAAAGCGGTGAATCTATGAGCAATGCACGTGTTCAGTGAGCCCATAACAGTGTACAGTCTTTCAAATATTCCATATCCACCGAAGGCTCTCTGGAGACATGCACGTCACACAAATCAGATCACTCTCGCCCATCCTGTCCGCTCAGACGTATGGCTGTTCATTCGCTGAGAAACGTATGAAGCTGGACAGATCTTTCCGGGTCGCACCATTTTCTTCTCCCCTGACATGGGAGGATCGCTGTGATACAAAGATGGCTTTCCCAACCGTATGCACCATTCCGAAATCAACACTTGTGCTGATAGAACATCAATATGGTAGAGGCATCGGGCGTTGTCGTCGAGCCTGTTTCATGTGCAACTGTCAGTGCCTCGGTCAGTTCTGAGCGCAGCAAGGACGAACAGCTTACCTTCTCAGCTGTTCCACAGCTGTTTCACAGCACTCGCGACTTTTGTATACCCCACGCGTGAGCTGTCAAACAATACTTATCTATGTAGGCCTGACCGCTTCACAAAGCCCCCATCTAGTAGGCCGATGGTGCCAATACCGGCGCCGGAAAGATAGGTAACCACAGCACGGCCAGGACCATCAGGAGAAAATGCTTCTTTACTGCAACTTGTTCATAATATCCCACTTCCGGTACGAGAATTTGCCATTGATATCGCTCGAAGTCATCGTGGTCCAGAGATCCTTGATGCGGTAGGGCAGAAAGATCGAGAGCCACCAGGACCTCGTTTTGGATGACATCTAGCCGTCCGTAAGTGAGCGTATCGAATCCGGTCGATGTATCCGCAGATTGGGAAAAGTCTTTCGATTCGACCTCTGCTAGTTGTGAACGAAGCTTGGATAGCTGGGTCTCGCAGGCGGAAATTTCTTCCGGGAGATTTCCAACTTCTCCATTGGAAGAGCCCATGAAAAACGGATACCTGGTCTACCGATGAAGCATTACGTTTACTGAGCGCAAATTTGGGAGAATTTTTGGAGTGCAGCGACAGAGTATTCACGGCTTAGACTCGGGGAGTTTATCGTCGGTCTCCGGCTCTCTACGGCCCCACCTCCACAATACAATATTACGTTAGTCTCAAAGGTGCATGATCAAGCTTCTCCTCGCACGACATTTTGCCCTACGGTAATTGACCGCAATGTGGTAACACTAGGAACAAAGAGGCGTGAGGGGGGGGAGACCTGTCGCGGGAGATTACTGATGGCAGGAAATGCGCCATGCCTTGATATGACGAGCTGAAAACACAATAGGGGGCTGGCAGTGCCCGTTGAGGTTTTAGAATGCGGAGTGCCCACAGTTTTCAATAATTTGAGCCTCAAATCCTTTTGAAAACCAGCATCAGCCCGATCATTTCTTCTAAGAGCATTTCGTTCTCATAATGGAGCACCACTTCTACAACATTGTCGGTGCAGAGCGGCGAGACGGCCAAAACTGCACCCGTGTGACATGCCCACGGACAGGAGAAGCTCTTTGGGAAGCTCCTCTGGCTTCCAAAGAAGATCTGGAGGATGCTGTGAGCTCTGGTAGAGCTTCTGCGAGGTCTTGGGGCAATGCCAGCCTCCATATCCGTCAGAATCTGCTCCGTGACTTTGCTCTCGAGCTCACAGCGTGGGCGAAATCTTTATCGCCAATTCTTGCAAGAGAGACTGGGAAATCGGTAAGTCAAACAAAGAGGCTCTGCCATGTCGGCAGCCAGCGCTGTGAATGCTCTGACCACCTCGAATGTCTAGACACTGCTCAGCGACTTAGAAATTGAGCACGCAGTCAACTTTTTGAATTTCAACGGCTAGTGTGCCCAATTGCCCGGTCTTCGATGGAAAGCCTTGCTCACTACTTCTAGCATCCCAATCGCTCGACGATGAAGTAGTCTACGAGGATGCAACGGTCAAAGTGGTGGCAACCCATATGCCGCTAGGTTTGGTCGCCGCCATCTGCCCGTGGAATTTCCCATTGGTCCTCGCCATGGGTAAAATTGCTGCAGCGCTTCTGACCGGAAACTGTGTGATTGTCAAGCCGTCTCCGTTCACACCGTATACAACAATGAAGGTTGTCGAATTAGCCCTGGATGTCTTCCCCCCCGGCGTCTTACAGGTGCTGCATGGAGAGGCCGACCTGGGGCGAGAGCTCACTATACATCGAAGCATAGATAAAATAACCTTCACGGGCTCCACGGCAACCGGCAAGAAGATCATGGAGAGCGCGGCGTACACGCTGAAAAACATGACACTGGAACTTGGGGGCAATGATGCCTCAATCGTTTGCGACGACGTCAACGTATCAGCTGTGGCACATGAGGTCGCTCAGGGGTGTCTCTTCCACTCTGGCCAAATGTGCGTAGCAACAAAACGTGTCTACGTACACAAATCCATTTACGAGGCTTCCCTTAGATGTCTAGTGAAGGAATTCGAACTGTTCATCACGGGCACTCCAAGAGATACCCCTTCGATCTTCGGCCCTCTTCAAAACAGTGCCCAGTTCACCATTGTCAAGGAGCTTATAGATGATTGCAAGGCTCGAGCCTATCGGTTTGCCACTGGCGGGAAGGTTGAAGAGGGTCCAGGTCTATGGATTCAGCCTACAATCGTCGACCGCCCTCCCGACGAATCATCAATCGTTTCCGAAGAGCAATTCGGTAAGTTTCGATTGCATTCATTCGATCAACATCAAACTGATAAGCTTGGCCCGGTACAGGTCCGATAACACCCGTTCTAGAATGGGAGACCGAGGAAGAAGTAATCAGCCGGGCAAACAACACCCGCTCTGGCCTCGGGGCGTGCGTCTGGTCTGCCGATATCACTCGAGCTGAGCGCATATCCCGAAAGCTTCAGGCCGGGACTGTATGGGTGAACAGCTTTGAAAAGCCGCTTCCCATGGCATACTTCTCCGGACACAAGGATAGCGGCGTAGGAGGTGAATGGGGCAGGCAGGGATTGCTTTCCTATTGTTATACCCAATCACTACATGTGTACAAGGACAACGTGCTAACCGCTGCTGAAGCATTGGTTCTGCCATGATCCTGATTGGAATGATTTGTACTCAGAAACGTATAGACAGGGCCAGTGCCGAGAGGTTCTCAAGAGCTTTCATAGATGTAATAGGCTGATCCTTTGCAGTGACGTGATGATGCTATGAATTTCGCTCATGTCTGAATCATATTTGATTGGAAGCCCGGCTGGTGTCTCGATTTCGCTGCTGCCGGCGACGACTTGGTCTTCGGTGGAGTTGCGTGGAGAACCGTGCAGGTGGGCTACAGTAGCTTTGACCAGGAGCCAAAACTCCGTAGCATGTCGAATAAATCCAGGGCGTAACCACATGTTTGCTAGAATATCCGGACCATTGTCGCTGGGCGTGTTTGTGGTTCGGTTTGCAAGCCAGAATCGTTTCCAGTTGGCAATCCCCGTATGGATCGGCAATCCCCGCATGGATCGGGAACATGTAGGTGATACAAGGGAATTCTTGATATGAAAGGCGAGCGAGTGTAGCGCTAATACTGATCAGCCTTGGCTTGGTGTTTCGGGGAGCAGATCAGGAGCGCATTTGGAGAAGCAGGATTTCCCTTACCAGTCACTATCGTGAACATGTTGAGTATGCTCAGCGCAGAGAACACGGCCTGATCCTCGTCGGAGATTTGCCCTTGACATATAATCTCAACCGCCAGGGATACATCCAATCGTTGCCCTGAAGCTCGAACGGCATTCCAAGAATGTAACTGGATGAAGCATTCCTCAGAAGATGTAGCTTGGAAGCAAGGCTCCGGGCAAGCAAGGTCCATCTTCAATTCAGGCACCACGAGCCGGGGAGGTGAATTGTTGAAGATCACAAAAGCTGAGTCGAGAAGGAAAATGTAGATAAAGGTTCTGTGTTTGAACGTCAGATTCTCACACAGCTGGAAAGCGATGCACGGGAGAAAGTACCTTATCAGGGACTCCTGCAAGACGAAACTCTCCCAGCTGAATGTGGAGATGTCCCCAACGTGGAGATGCCGCAGCGTTGCGTTTGACATTCCAAAATCTCTGGCGAACTTTCGAGGCAGATGCCACAATGTCAGTGACGGAAAGAGAGCAGAAAAGAGACTGGGCTTGATGATTCAGGCCATGTACTCACCGCAATGACGGTGCTGTATCGGTGCCGCCGTATTCTTCGTTTGCTCTCCTCAGACCCCTCCCAATTCTGAAGCAAGCAGACAAAGTACGCCGCTTGTAAAAGCTCAAACCTCCGCCTCACCGCAGGCCTTTCCAGCCAATTGTCGCCTGGATCCGCCTCGCTGAAGAGTTCGTCGCAGCTGAATATCATCTCTTCCAGACTGTTGAACCAAATGTTTGCACCAGCATGATCTCGGCTGTCCGGCGACATGCAGGCCCCAATCAATACCATTGATAGGAGTAGCGAACAGGGACATTGAGCATCATTGAAAGTTGGTCGGTGGATGATGGGACTGTTTGGATACCAGGACGACCAGAAGAGCTCGAGGAACTTTCGTAAGTTTGGCGGAGAGAAAAAGTCGAAGCACATTTGCTCCAACAAAGGTGACCAGCTGATTGTTATCTTGCTTCCTCTTGGTTTGTTCCATGTGATGGCCTTGATCTGGTCCACAATCTCGCATGTTTTCAGCGCCAATTCGTCAGAAATCCACACTGACGAGGAGGATGCACCTCGCGAGGAGACGTCTAATAGTTCGCCAGTGCTATTCGTCTCGAATGGATCCAATCCCAGCCCTGGGACGTAAGTCGGTTGAAGGGCATTGCATTCACGGCCGAGGAAATATAGCTGTTGACTCGCAGTTGTCGTCGGATCGAGCAGACTGTCCCACCCAGAACCTATCGCTTGATCAATGTCAAGCCCCGCAAATGGATCCAGAGGAGCACCCCTGTTGTCTGTAAATTGGTTCCCCGGGTGCCGATGACGCTCAGAGGCTTCCCTGGCAATGGCCTGCCGCTCGTTGTGTGACCCACACTCGAAGGAATCCAGAAACCCGTTTCCCTTTGTAAACTTGCTCAAGAATGGAAAACGATTCAAAGTGATTATGTCAAAATCGGATGGACTGGCTGGGCGAAGACTCGTCCAAACATGGACGGCTGGGCTGTGAAGGAGCTGAGAACCGCCCTCGTTTCCCTCCGTCTCCTCGGCTTCCCACGAAAGCGACTCGGAGCCAAATCCAGCGTTCAGTTCGTCCATCTCAAACGGGTTATCAATTTGTCCACCATGTTGCTCTTCCCGCTGCCCATTGTCGCTTGAAGAATTTCCGCAGTTGCTTGAGACGGCGCCAGTATCATCCTCTTCGTAGTTTGCGGAACCGCGGGCAACCGGGTTGAAGGTGCATGCAACCATCTTCTCGCGGCAGCTTTCGCACGGGTATCCAAGAGAACAGGCTTTCTTGAGCCGCGCACATCTGTCACACGCCTTCCGTTTCTTGCCTTTGATTTTGGGGACCAGCCGCGGAATTTCCTGGTCTTGCTCCAAGCGGAGCTTGCAGGTTTGCCAGTGCCGCTTGAGAACGTCTCTGTTGCGTGTCAGTCTCCTCCGGTCCTGCACAACGATCGACACACTCAGATTCGACCGCTGACCTTCGTTTGAAAGAATGCCGACAGAATATGCATTCGAAAGGACGTTGCTTGCCATCTTTGAAGTTACCCATTAGCAGCTGCGGCACTCCGGAAACAATGCAGAGAGGGGGTATGGGTGCGACATACGGGAAAGGATATGGCGTTCGAGGTGCTCGGAACGGCCGAAGCGGTTACCGCACTCTGAACACTCAAACGATTGCGTCGAAGTGCCTACGGCTACCGACATGGCTGACAATTTCGGCGGTTAGTCTGCCTGGAATAGGTTTCTGGTGGTCGCGAGAGGGCATGCACAGGCAGCTACTGCAGGCAGATTAGCGAACCCCGCACTTTAAAGTCCATCTGAAAAGGTCGGCTAACAGAACTGCCGATTGCGGGGAAGCTTAGCGCATTCGCACCGATTGCGTAGCGAGGTATAATTTCGATAAAACATTACCTACTACTATAACTCTATTATATCTTAAGTAAGTAGTAGAAGTTTAGATTTAAATTACTAATTACTTGTATTTGGACTTTTCGTGGCTCTCACGTCGATCCGCCAAAAAAGAAAAGGAAAGAAAACCAGATGCTTCCTCTGATACGCCCGCCGAACGAACGCCCCTGGTTGTCCAGTTGATCCATCTTAGAGTGTATTTTAAATTTGCCTCCACGCCATGCGCCCAAGATCATCCAAATGCTGCAGGCTGATGGAAATAGTTGCCACCTCTTTTGTTTGCCGTCTGCCGAAGATCCCGGCCGGCAACGCATCCAGGTCTACTGCCCAGACCGAGTTTTCTTTACGATAAGCGGCCCAACGAGAGCTGTGCCATCGCCAGCAACCTTCTTCTTCTTCGGCGGCGGCGGCGGCTCAGCATCCTTGGTCTTCTTTGCAATGCCCTGGACACCGAAAGCAGCGCCATCGTCAGTGGCCTTCCTCTTCTTCGCCTCGGCATGCTTGGCCGTGTTTATTACCCCCATTCTCTCCATTCCCATCTTCAATATACGCCTATTCGCCTGAGACGTTTCCCTCCGTGCACCCGCGAGCTCCTCATCACGCATCTTCAGCTGTTCGTCGCGCGTCTTCAGCTGTTGCTCCAGTTCCTTGACCTTCTCTTCCGCCGTGACGGCGCGCTCCTTCAGCACATCCACCTCACTCTGGTGCTTGGCCTTCAGAGCGCAAAGATCCTGCTCAGCCCCCACGGTGTGGCTCCTCAGCTCATCCTCCGAGTTGCGTACCGTCTCATGCAAGTCTGCGACTATCTTGCATGCTTTTGTCATCTCGGCGGCTGCCGTAGCTAGAGTCTTGCGGAGGTCTTCCTTGTGAACGGTCAGGTCTGTGGTATTGTTCGGCTCGGTCTCGGATAGCACCTGGAGGTCTTGCTTGTACGCATTCTCTGCAGACTCCGGCTGTTTTGCTGGTGGTGGCTGACTTGTTCTAGTTACCTCAGCGATCGAGCGCTTCCGCGCTTCTGCCGGTATAAACAAGGCTTGGCGACGCGGCGTTCCAGTCACATCATACTGGTATGGGAACCTGTGGTATCGCCAGTTCGGATCCCTGCCAGGCCCATTTGCCTGTATGCCGAGAAAGGGCAGGTGTTGGCTGAGGTACCGGAAAACAATGGATGTCTCATAGACGATGACTGTTGTAAGGTGTTGCTGGCCATCGTAGTCCATTCCGAGGCAGTCGCGGAGAAAAGTCTCGGTGACGAGGGGCCAGGTCGCGGGGTCCTTCTCGTTGTAGTCGCTAACCTCTCGGATACTTCGCTGCAGTAGAACTGGGTCCCAGCTAAATACGCCTTCGTACTTCAGGAGATCCTCTAGGAGGATATGACCTGTAGTCCAATCTATGATTTAGGAGTTGCTAGACGCGATCGACAGGGATTAGTGTATCGTGGAGAGTAGGGATACAGTAGAGGAAGGAGCGTGAAGCAGGAGGAAGAGATTCTTGCTCGATCATATACCCAGATGGTAAACTGCAACCCAGAGTGATAGAAGTGAAGGCGTGAGGCATGAAGCAGAGAGATGCGGCGCCAACGGAGTGAACGAGATGAGTAATGAAGAGAGATGGAGAGAAGAGCAGGCGTCTTTTGCATACCCTCCAGCGCATCGGAACAGAGACACTCCCCATTTACCTGAAGGTCAGAGAAGAGAGACGCGGGCGGCGGGTGAGAGTAAAGCCAGGTCCAGCCTTCATAGTCTTGCTCTTGACTGCTACGCATCGCCAAAAGGACGGGCGGTGAGACGACGCCTCCAGGTGCGGATACATTGAAAACGGGTTCTTGTCCGGCAATGCATCCATCAGTTGGGGAATGCCGGCGGCATCCACCACCGCGACTATAATATCGAGCGCATAGGGCGTCCAAACCCAACTTCCCACCGATTACGAATGTGTCCACGCTGATATCGACGCAGGCGTCATTACCGTCAGTGGGCCAAGAGTGGGCGACAGATACCTAGAAGCAACAAAATCCTCAAACCACCCAATACCCCACGCCCACCGCACACCCTGCCATCGACATCGGTGAGCTCGCCCGCGCGGAGCAACGATGACCCATCCCCCCTCCACTCCGCCAGCTCCTGCCCAAAACCCAGCCCAGCCCAACCCAGCCCAGCCCAGCCCAGCCCAACCGCACGGCCCCAGCCAAGCGGCTGCCTTCGAGTCACTCCCAACAAGTGGCGCACGTACCATTCTTCGCAGCTGCCCCACCTGAAACATGCGCAGCGCGCGGGCCAACGCCAGTCAGCCCTGCAGTCGGCAGCGCGCTCCGAGATCGGCCCCGGGGGCAGGGCAGGAAAGGAAGGAAGGAAGGAAGGAAAAAAAGGAAGGAGCGCGTGCAACGCGAGTGGAGTGTCAACAACGGCGCGTCACCCCAACACTAGAGATGCATCGGGCTTTGTGGGCGTACGATAGAAGATATAGCGAGGGCGTGAGCATGGATGAGGTAGCTCCTGAAGTGGATGCCGTATGGTGTTCAGGAACTAGCTCCCACTCCTGCACGTCATGCGGCTAGGGCGCCGAATACGAGAGGAACGCGTGGGGGATCGGCACCTCACAACAACCTCATGTCTTGCTTGCACGGCAAGTAAACAGCAAGGCAGAACATCACGAAAAGGCAGCAAGGCGAATGCAGTTTTTTTTCCCTTAAATCATATTGTTACATTTGCTATACTATCGGCATGACTGATGACTGAACCCGGTTCCATGAAAATGAAATCACCCATATCCACATGACCCCGACAGATGCACTCACTCCACAAACGCCCAGTATCCGTACCGAAGACAGGAAGAGGGGTATCGCTTGTAAAGGAAAAGGGGTAGACAAACGCCGTAGACGGAGCCTGATGGGCTCACGAACATGAAGGTGAAAGAAAAGGAAAACGGTCGCGCTCCATGTAGCTGAACGAGTCTTGACGAGGTGTCGCGACAGCGTATCGTACACCGGGAAGGGTATACGACATGTCCAGCGAGTCGAGAGCGAGGCCGTGGAAGGGAATAAATATGCTCGTTGGTGACGCGAAAGATGACGAATCGGGAGCCGGGTGTCGTACAGTCAATGCGAGAGGTGACGGCCGACGCGACGGTGAGGCGACAGTGGTGGCGAAGGCGGGGTAGGGGGTGAATGCGCTTAGGCCTTAGCCTTAGCCTTGCTCTTGGACTTGGGGGAGGCCTTGGTCTTCTTGACGGCGCCCTTCTTGGAGACGCGAGCCTTCTTGGGAGTCTTGCCCTTGGTAGGCCTGCCCTCCTCGTCAAGCTCCGGGAGGAACTCGATCGACGGCACCTGCTTCGTCTCTTCCTTCTTCAGCATGTCCAGGATCAGGTTGACCGTCCCCTTCACCTCGTGGATCGACTTGTTGGGGCCGAGGTCAAGCTCCAGCTCGCGTAGGACATTGATGGGTGCTTCAAAATGCTTACCCTCATCCGGAACGACGGCAGCAGCGGCCTCGTCGGCGTTGCCGTGATTGGAAGTGAACTTGCGGGAGTAGGTGTTCAAGCGCTGCTCCTCCGACTTCTTGAGGACGACGTTATATGTGGTGCCCGGGATCTGGCCTTCGATAATGTCGAACTGTCGGAGGATGAGCTCGATCTTTCGGACCTGCCACTTCGCGGTGTTGTAGGTGGCGCGCTGGTAATGCTTGCGGCAGAACAAAGGCCATGACTTGATGAGCCGGGTGCACGCCTTGTTGCGACCAAAATGATCGGAGATGACCTTACGAGACAGGTCTTTCGTATACTGGCCGGTCTTGCATGACGTGTGCTCATCGTTCATGCACTCGAACTCGCGGTGGATCGGCTCCGTGGCAGTGGCGGCAGTGGCGGCAGTGGCGGCGGGGTTGGCGACATTGCTGGCCGTGGTGCCGTTGCCATCCTCGCCCGACGCGTCCGTGCTGGTGGTGCTCGCGGGGGAGGCAGCCGGGTTCTCAGCGGCAGCACCAGTTTGCGCCGGCTCCGGAGTGTTAGCTGGAGCGGCCTGAGCAGGTACGGCCGGAGTAGGAGTAGCTGAAAGGTCAGAACCGGGCTCCTGCGGGGTAAGAACGTGTGACAGACTCATCGCGTGGCGGATGCTGTTGGCCGTCGAGTCCTCGGGTTTGGCCGCACCGAAGGCCGTGGTGTTGTTGAACTGATCAGACATGCTGAGAGTTGGGAGAGCGGACGAGAAGGATGTTGAAGTCGTTGATGAAGTGAGTAAGATGCAGCAGGTGCTCAAGTTGAGTGCGCTTCTTCGAGCGATGGAGAGCGGAAGTTGGCTGGAGTGGGTGCGTGGGGTTGAGGAAGTCTCGTAGAAGGTGAGCGGAGGGAGACTTTTATACCCTGGGGGAGGCTGCCGAACTGGCACGGGCGCTAGCAGGGCCCTCACCGCGATACCGGTCGAGGTGACTGTTTGGTCGCCGCCTGACCGACTGCCTCGTTGACAATAGGAAAGAGCCCCACAATATCAGGAACCTATTCACGTCGCAGGCGGCATAGCGCCGCCCCAGACCGCTTCAGACCGGCATCCTCCCGCATGCGCCTGGGACCGGGAGCCAATTGCGCAATCTTGAGGCTCATGAGAACTCCTCACCGCCTCCCCATTTGCTGCACGTAGCTGCCAAGCCCAGAGCTCGAGGGCAGACCGGCAGCCGTGTGACGCATATGACCCCTGTCATCCAAATGCGAACCGTACTAGCGCGAAGAGGATGGGCAACAGGCAGATAAGGGCGCTATTGTGGGGCCGCTGGCGTGAACAGTCCGGATTGTGCCGGCGGAAGGGCCAATTGTTTGAGCGAGCTTCAAACGCAGCCCCGCGTCATTCAATGCGCCTTGGGAACGCCAAATGTAGGGCCGCAACTGGAATGGCGTTGGGCACCACGGACTGTGGCATAGCGCGAGTAGAGGTCCATGCTCGAGCTCAGTGCGCTATACTGGTCCTCTCTTCAATAGGTCCCACAAACGTAATGCAACAGCAGCGGCGAAAGCCCCATTGCGTTGTCGATACCCAGCAGCTGTGGCTCGGGTGCAATGAGTTTGCCAGTGGGGAAGTCGAGGTGAATGCAGAAAGAGGGGCCAACGCGCAACCAGTTGTGTATCGGAGTTAGAGACGAACACCCGCGGCCTCGTAGACTTTTCAGTATTCACACTGCAGAATGCATTAGCTTTGTCTACATGCTTTGCATAGGTGGTACCAAATGATCCGTGACTGCGATGACTGAGTGACCAAGTTGCCATCGCTCATGTCTGTGCTTTTCACCGTGGGAGTCCTCCTCGAGGCTCAGCACCCCTGAAAGCCCCAAGGTAGACAAGCATTCCAACCAGCTGACGTGCAGAGGTGGTGTAGCTGCCAATTGGTCTTCTTCGTATGCTAAGTTCAGGTCCTGGTCCTGGCCTTCGACGCGCGGCGGCGGGCCGTACTGTGTGCTCTTGCCACTTTTCTTTGCGCTCCTCGAGCTTCAGAAATTATACAAGAGCGTCATGACGGCAATGAGAAGCGTGGATAGATGGTGTTGGGTGGCGGAGCGAGAGTGTAGTACGAGAGCTGAGGTAAAGTCAGGGTTCAGAGGTTGGATTAAGCTTCAGTCAGAGGGACCCTAGACCCGTTCTGATTGGTAAAGCAGGGGGCAGGCATCGTTTTAGTCAACAGCAGCTAGCACGGCGGATCCTTCTTCGATGCGAGCTTAGATAACGTCATTAGATTGAGCCGGTTCCCCCTATCACAGCCTCCAACAAGATCAGAGGACCCAGCGGTCTTTACTGGCAAGTAGAGCCTGTAGGACGTCCATAGAGTCACATCAAAGGGCCATACCATAGGCAGGAGGGCGTTGGGCGGTCGAATGCGAGGCATCCGGTATGAGGGCGATCCGTCCACAACCCCTGCAGCACCGTCCTGGAGTCAGCGGCCGTCGGATGTAGTTAAAAAGCCGATACACTCAAAGAAGAAGCATATGCGAAGCCCCTCCGGTAGGTGCAGTACCGATGCCAGACGTGTGCGTGGGTTGCGGAAGCTTGAAGGGGGCGACGGGCCGGGGCGTGGCGATGGGGGCGCATTCGCACTGCCGGTGAACTTCAGCATACCTTCCACCCCCGCTCCCACCTCCACTCCGACCACTAAAGGGCACGCCGGTTCGCAAACTGCAGGCGATGAGATCTGCAAGGGAGCAATGGAGCAATGGAGCAGCGACGGATCGGAATAGCAGCCCCAGCCGGCCGCGGCGCCGCGAATCGAAAGCAAAGGCGAGCGGGTATCGGGAAGGCGGCTCGCCGTCGGCCAGCATATCGCCCTGCCTATCGGATAGACCAAGGAGCTCCGCAAAAGCTAGGTAAGCCCGGTGGTAGCGGGTAAGCCGTTCCTCATGCCTCTTGTTAATGATCTCTGTTGCTTGTATGCACGAAGGGACCCGGCCACCGCCCCGTGGATGCCTCCGCCCGCGCAAAAAGCGGCCGGTTTACTTGTTTGCAGCCCGGTACACATTGCAGACTCCCTAGCCCGCGTACTCGATGCGTCGCGAACACCAACCTCGTATTGCCATCGACAGTCACCCAGAGCATTCGTCGACATCGCTTTTAAGGCCACGGTACATGAGAGGCGTGACCCGTGATTAGGACGCACGCCCCCGGGAACGGGAACGCATGAGCGCTTGCAGGCAGCTTGCAACGGCGTCGAACGCTCACAGCGCGAACATCAAGACGGCAACGCCTTCCGGCGACGTTCTCACACCGGTGGCACCTCCTGTGCGTACGTGCCATTCCAACGCAAAACTAGCGCCTGGGAGAGGACGGCAAGGCTTACAAGAGGGCATCGATGGGCACGGGAGCCCTGGAGGCTGATCATGGTATCGATCGTGACAGAGCTGAACATCGCTGACAAGCTCGCTGAATCGCTTTGACGGTTGGCACATAGATGTGAGGCAAGTCCGCGTATCGAGCAATATCACGCCAGGGTGGCCCACCTGCGATCATGGAAGGTCGGCGATCGTTCGTCAAAAATTTGGCACACATCCATACCATCTTCCGGAGCAAGCGGGGATGCGCAATCTGGGAAGAGTGGCATAGTGACTTTAGGGTCGACCGCTTCCTGGTTCAGGCGTCATAAAGCTGGTACCAGACCAGCCAGGCGATTCGTGAGGAAGGTTCGACAACCACGGATCGAAGAAGCGCTCAGGGGGGGGGCCTGCGGCAGGTTGGATCGACCAACAAGATGCTAGAGATACCGCCATGTTGAGCCTTCATTCCACCGTACCCCTTCGAGCGTTTACGATCGTCCCGAGAATCCTAGAAGGCGGCTCAACACGTGGTAAACCCATGGTATAGGGGAGCAGGCGGCAGCGAGTTAGGCACAACAGCCGATAATGGGAAAATAAAAGGGCGGAGCTGGAAGCTTCTTAGCTGGCTGCAGGGCGACGACGTCGGACACAATGGAGAGTCTATGGGAGGACATCGCTCAGAAGAGATGGACCGAGGCCGACGAGTGGTTACCATAGCCAGAAAGAGCTATGCTCTCTAGCCGTCACCATCGGATCCGGCACATGTGGGAAGTGTGCTGTAAGGCCATGGAACATGGCTCGTCGGCCGGTTACAGACAATATTCGATCTCAGGAGTTACAGGAGCGTAGGTGGCCATGACCTGGACGGAAAGGAGGCCACCACGCAGGATTGCATCGAGACTTTTCGTGCGCGACCCGGGTATGACGTCCAGAAGGCATGCACTACCACGATTATCCTCGAGAATGGCTTGCTTGTTCTGATCCTCCGGCATATGAATCATTCTGCCCGGTTTTACGCCCGTTCTTTGCGCTTTGGTGCCGAGACTACTCCTGGGTCGCAGATCGTCACTCCAGGCGCATTGGTGTCCTGCTCTTACTCCGTATGAGCTATGCCCATGGTCTCCTTCATTCAAGGAACACCCTACTCTTTTCCTTTTCCCCGACTGAGCCCCAAGCCAGAATTCGGGGGTTGATGGGCGAAACGGGATGGCTTTAAGTTCGAAAGGGAAGGCAGCGGCATCTTGTCCTTTGGAAATGCGCGCGACAAAAAAAAAGTCAAACACAATCCATGACTGTACCCGGCATGGTTGTAGGGATTCGTCTCATGCGAAACGGAAACGAGAACCAAGACAAAATGCCATGCTTATGGAAGAGGACCACATTCATGTGAAGAGTGCCGCGGGGCGGAACTTCCCACACTTACCAGATGTTCGAGTAAGCCGTCGGAAACGTCCAACCCCCACATTTGCCAGTGCGTGGGATCAAATGTTACCACGTGCGGCGCAATCTTCCCGCTTCGTCAGGATATTCGCCAGCTGCAGCCCTGATGGACCGCAGATAATGGAGAGTCGGATAGGTAGACCATGCTGTCGATTAGCAGCCGAGCCTGGCAGCCTAAGTTTGTCGCTACCACCTACTGTGCTCCTCTGCGCCGGAACAAGCGCGAGAGTTGATGCCGAATTTTCTCCTGTGCGATACGCATCGCATATGAACCGATCCAGGAGCGGTGTGGTCCTCTGAAGGTTCGGAAATCTGACGTATTGCTGGAGCTCCTGGTCCTCGGGCAAAGCGCTGTTCGTGGGAGGCATCGACAGGGGCCGCACAATCTCCCTCTCATACACCCGTCCTCAAATGCCTCGACGGTCTTCTCGCGCCTTGGTGTTTCTTCCAGGTATCTGTGCTGTTGATTGGTGATCCGGGGCATGCCAGTCTAGCGCGCGCACCGCTTCGACATGCAATCTCACGGTTATGTTGTGGCTGGAGGATCGGTCTCCTGGCGTAGCGAGCGAGAGGGAAAAGCGGCTTTGTGACACTCGATGAAGTGGAGGGGAATCCAACCCTATTCTTCGAAAGACGACCTAGGCTTGCCTCGAAGGAAAAGGGGGCGATCTCGGCACCTCGGCCGCCCCGTTTCGCTCGGTACCTTCCGCGGCCCTTGTCTGCAACCTGGCGGAATCCTCGCGGAAACCGTCGGTGCACGCAACCATCGGAGAGGCTGCCGCTTATGGCTAGGCAGCACGCATCGACCAGCAGCTTGTTCCGACCTCTCATGATTCTCGGGAGCCCGCAGAGCAAACAACTCTTCGCACACGGAGTCGACGAAGCCCAGAGAACTCGAAGCCCCTCGCCGACGCATCTCCTGCACGCGCCGCTACACCTGTCGGCTGCCGTACCCGCCCCCTCTACACCCGGGGCCTTGGACAGCTCGTGGCGACGGCATCGCTTTCTATCGAAACACCGCTCAAGCCCAGTGGTCCTCGTCCTCGAAGCCTTTGTATCATAGTCGATTCGGTCGGGATCGCGTAGGGCGGGGTGTCCCTCATCGGGGGCTGGCGACGTGCCTTTGGTCTCTGCATGGCGACGACGAGTCCGAGTGCGCAGCTAGGCAAACCAGGCTGGGGTTGCGTGAATGCTTCAAGCCCTATACCACAAAGTGCTGCTGGGAGAGGGTGTTGTGGTCAGCGTTAAAAAGCGGCGGGGAGGCTGTAGCGAGCGTATGCAGGGCGCAAGCAACCGCAGCCACTATCCCCTCCGACTTGAAGCCGCCCCTTCGCCTTCCGACTCTACGGACCCCCCGCACTTTCTCCCCTTGCAAGACTTCGATTCTCTCCCGGATTGGCGCGCCGCCATGATGTCCATGGCCGAGGGAGGCGGGCCTACATCCGCGGTCTCCACCCAGCGCCATGCCCGCAAGCCTTCGACGCTTGTCGCTGTCCCGAAGATCGACTTCGCCAAGCCAAAGCCCACGCTGACTGCCTCTGCAGGGCTCCAAATACCACCGGCAAGGAGCTCCGCGTCTCCTGCTACTCGAGACCCATCGCTCAACTCAAGCATGCCGCGGCTCTCCCGGGACGTCGCGAAGGAGTATAATGTCTATGCCGCGCCTTATATACCGGTTCATTTGAGGCAAATCAATCGTGCGCCCGCTCATGACTTTAATACTCCAGCGCTCCACCAGATCGATTACTCAACGTATGTCACCACCTTCGCGGGCCAGAGCTTTCGACCGGAACCGCTTGATGTCCCAGCACAGCCATCACGCCGTCATGCGGCTAGATCGCCTTTACCCCTCTCGGCGGACTGGTATCTAAACTACTTTACGCCGCTATGGAGTCTTGAGATGTCAGCAAAGGAACAAGAGCACGAGCGTTTTGCACTGTATCAAGTAGCTCTTCAGCGAATAAGGTTCGAAGACGACGAAGATCTCTTCGCTCTCTGTATACCAGGAATACGAGAGGACAGCCCGCTCGTGGAAAAGGGCGACACCATTCAACTTCGACAGCTGTGGGTCAATCCTGTAGGGAATTCGATGGCTCTCCCGACTCAAAACGGCCGTCCTGGAAATATCAGCCAGCCGAGCTTCACCGGTGTGCAATATAACGCCTCCGTTTACAATGTCAATCGGACCACCGAGATAGTATATCTTAGAGCCAAAGGCCTGCCGGACTTGCCGGGACTAGCTCTTCTTGCTTTAGTCGTTAACGTCATGTTTCCTCTAAAGTTACGCGTCTTAAGGGCGTGTTGGAACGCTCTGGTGTTTGTCGACAGAGCCCTACATACGAGACGATCACGGTCAACTCCCGACGGCCCGGTTGATTCGGACAGACGCATTCAACGAGAAGTCAACCACGGTGGAGGCGATATTCCTTCAACATCCGCGCAACAGGAGCGAAACGGAAATCAAGGCACTGGTATCGGCACCGAGGTTCAACCTACGACAGCGTCAAATAACTGGCTCGAGACCATTCTGTTTCCCGTCGAGGCTGCCGGAAAGCTTCAAACTGAATTACGCGGACCTCCGCACCGAGGATACTTTGACCCAGACATCAACTTTGAGCAAGGACACGCGGTCGGCGACCTCGTCACCAATATTTATGGCACGCTACCCTACCTTATCTCTGGGCCACCAGGCACCGGTAAGACAAAGACACTCGTCGAAATTGCGATGCAGCTCCTCGAGTCCGAACAAGTTAGTCACATCCTCATTTGCGCCCCATCGGACCCAGCTGCGGATACGCTGGCTCTACGGCTGAAGCAATATCTCAACCCTTCGCAGTTGCTGAGGCTCAACGGGCCTTGGCGCACAGACATCGAAGTTCCCCAGGAGTTAATGCCGTATTCGTATATGGAGAGGGATATGTTTTACCTTCCACCTTTCCAGAATCTCATGGCTTTTGATGTCGTCGTGACGTCCTGCCGGGACGCCTCGATTCTGGTTGACGCGCGGTTGACCAATGCGGACCTTTGGACGATTGAGAAGAATATGCTCTCCGCTTTTCATCCCGAGGACTCTGCGCCATCGCCTCCTAAGCTTCACTGGGGAGCTCTGCTAATCGATGAAGCTGCGCAAGCAACTGAGCTGGACGTCTTACCGGGTATCAGCGTCGTCTGCCCCCCGGCCGCCTATTCACAAGAATATCCACAGCCACGCTTCGCTATGGCTGGTGATGAGAACCAGCTCGGGCCACGGACTGCCTCACGCGACCCTCAGTTCTCAACCTCGCTCTTCGCCCGCTTATTTGACCGGCCCTTGTACAAGAACCACCCGTTGTCTCGATCGAACATGAAGCCATCCGCGGGCCCGCCGGTGCTGAAGAAGTCCATGCTTCCGATCCTATACCCACCCTTCACGAATCTGATACGAAATTACCGCTCTCATCCCGCTATACTCAGCGTACCGAGCAGTCTCTTCTACAACGACACCCTGATGCCCGAAGCTCCAGCCGCCCATACCCCTTTGCAGGCCTCGTCCCTATGGCAGGGCCGCAGATGGCCCGTCCTCTTCCTGCCCCACACGGGACCCGACGAGATTGAACGCGACGGAGGAGGCTGGTACAACATCAACGAAGCGCATATTGCCTGCGACGTCGCCCAACGCCTTGTATATGAATCCAAAGTTCCCCAAGCAGACATTTGTATCATGTCCCCCTTCGCAGCGCAGGTCAAGTTACTTCGCGCAAGGATCCGCTCGAGCAGGTACGGTGGCGGAGCCGGGCTGTGGGACATTAACATCGGACCGCTGGAAGCATTCCAAGGTCTCGAACGACGCGTCGTCATCATATGCACTACTCGAACTCGGGAGCAGTTCCTGGAGCAAGACTCTCAACGCGGACTCGGCATGATCTATCAGCATCAGAAGATGAATGTCGCTCTCACGCGTGCGAAGGAGGGCCTCTTCGTCATCGGCAATCCGGCCGTGCTGAGGCAAGACAAGCATTGGAACGCGTGGTTGGCCTTCTGTTGGCGGAATGCACTCGTGTGGGACCAGAGTCGTGTCTGGGATGGCAGCCAGGAAGGCTTTGGCGGAGAAAAGCTCGGCGTATTGGAGCGTGCCCTGCTGGCCAAGGAGAAGCAGGGTGAGAGGCTGTTGGGCGCTTCTTCCACGTCGCTGGAGCAGCATGATGACGCTGAGTATCGGGCGTGGACTGAGGGGTTGAGAGAGGCACTCGAGGAGGAAGATGGCGAATTTGACGAGGAGTACTAGGCTTTGAGGGTCTTTTCGGGCGTTAGGATACCGTGTCCTCGTACGCTTCTGGGTGAGGAGCTGCCCTTGGTTTGTATACCTCTTCTCATAGCGGTTGGATAGATCTGGGTGATGGTCGGGTATGAGTCTGCATAGCATAACGGTAGGAGTTAAGGTAATTCATGTCCCTCTTTATAATGGGGTGCATTCCCCATCGCTGGACGCACCTACCCACGCCTCTTTCACAAACAAGAGCTACATAGCAACCCGAACAGCGTCGGGCTGTATTATCACAATGGAGCTGGGCAGCATCACGCCCACATAGCAGAAGCGAGACTGAGAAGTACAAAACATACGAACGAAAAGGGTATCTCAGTTAAGTTCCTAGGACGTGTCTAAGAAGCGCCGTCCAAGATCGGCAATGAAAATGCTACCTAGATATGAATGACGGCCATGACCCATACTGACCAACGCCATAGCCTGAAATGCTCAGAGCAACCCACCACCACCACCAAGCGTTGTCTCAGTAGATGAGAGAACACTATGCAAGTAAGAAAGTCTATCATTACAGAAATTGAATGAGAAACTCCCCTTCCACCAAGCTTTCCGATACTTTAGCGCCCCAAGAAACCGCGCAGCGCTTTCTCGACCTCGCGATCCTCGATCGCCTGATAAGGATCCATGCCTTGCGGAGCACGCTGCTGTTGCGGAGCAGGCCCACGCTGGCCTGCGAGAAGGCTTCCTACGCTACCCGGAACGGCATTGACAGGTCCATGGTACGTAGGCGGACCTTGACTCAGGCCGTTCTGCCCCGGAGGATACGAAGGACGCCCGACGCCGTTAGGAGCGGGCGGCTGATACTGAGTCGGATTGTATATCTTCCCAGGATTGCCTACAGCGCTGCCACCACCGCCTTGCATCAATGCCTTCTCCTTGTCCCTCTTCTTCTGCTGAACCAGGGTACCTTTGACGCCTCGGAGGTATTTCATAGCAGCGTCGACGAGTTCCTTCTTTTCGGGCGAGTTCTTGAGGGCCAGAAGCATTTCGCGGACTTGGGTCTCAGATTTGATGTGCGGGCAGGTGCGGGCATGACCGAAATGCGCGAGGCCGCAGAGACCGCAGTGTTCGACACCGGCAACCTTTAGCTCGCAGGCGCCGCGAGGATGTTGCTTATGGCAAGCAAGGCATATTTGGACATTGGATCCGTACGTAGGTTCGAGAGGTGAGCGAATAGGGATGCGAGCTCGTTCAAAAGGTTTAACTGTTGGCCCATTAGCCGGCGGCGCAGGTGGTGTGTCTAAAACCGGCGCAAATTTAGCGGAGGAAGGTTTTCCATATCTGACAGGCGGCGAAGGAGGACCTTTGGGGTTGTTTGAAGCAGAAGCTGGAATGCTGAGACTGACGGAAGGGAACTTGGACGGGAGTCGAGATGGAAGACGGGACGCACCTGCTGCGTTTTGCTTGTATAGCGACTTGTTGACGATGGTGCTTGTGCTGCGTCGATGAGAGACATCGATTTCTCCGAGGTTCCGCGCTTCCGCCAGGGCTTCCGCGGGGACTTCGGTGTCGCTGTCGTCTTCCTCGGTTTCATCGGCCATGAAGTCGGTGTCACTGCCGGATGAAGGCTTCTTCTTGCGCTTCTTGTCCACCTTGACAGGAGATGGAACAACGCTATTTGCTCCTTCATCAACAACAGCGTCCTGTTCGGTGGTGTAATCGATGGTCTAGAGAAGGAGTCAGCAGCAGAAACAGAAAAAGTTTGGCGACACATACCACCCTAGCCCGCTTGCCTCTACCCAGAGCTTCCGCTCGAGCAAGTGCTTCTGCAGCAGCTGCCGCTTGACGTTCCATGAGAATCTTATCCCAAACACTCGGATCTGGAGGAGCAACCTCCTCGTCCGCCGTATCGAGTGTATCTTCTAGTGCACCTTGATCGTTGGCCCAGACACGAGCGAAGCTGAATTGCGATTCTGCAGAGTCATCACCGCTTGTTCTCGTGTTCTCAATCTGGCTGCGGTCAAGCAGCTTGTCGATCGACGCCTCGTCGTAGCGAACGTCGCGATCTGCGTCATCTTTGAAGAGTTCCGCAGCGCCGAACTTGAGAATTGACTGAATATCCTTTTCTTCAATGTCCTCCGCGTCAAGCTGCTCAACTACGACGTGGTCGAGAACCATCTTCTTGCGGCCCATCTGGACAATCTTTTCTTCGGCGCTGGCCTTTGTCATCAACTGGAAACATAGCACCTTCTTTTTCTGGCCGATCCGATGCGCCCGTGAGATCGCTTGGATGTCCTGGTGCGGATTCCAGTCAGGGTCGAGAATGATGACTGTGTCTGCGGTAGCAAGGTTGATCCCGACGCCACCCGCTCGTGTCGACAGAAGGAAGGCGAACAGAGGAGAATCTGGTGCGTTGAACTGGTCTATCCGCTTCTGCTTCTCCATCGAGCCCATATTGCCGTCCAGGCGCTGGTACGCCATTTGCATGCCGTCCAGGAAGTCTTCCATAATGTTCAACATATCCAAGAATTGACTGAAGATCAGGACACGATGACCACGCTCTTGCAGCTTCGGCAATAATAGCTCAAGGAGTTGCAGCTTAGCAGAAGCCTCTACCAAGTTGCGGTGGGATACAGCTTCGATATCAGTACGCTCCTCGATCTCGCGGCTGTAAACGAAAGGGTGACATAAGCACTTCCGCAGTTGCATTAGGATGTTGCTGAGGTTGGCGCGTTCTTGGGTTTTGAGGTTTCCTGAGGTGAAAAGTGCCTTGAGAAGTTCAGGGTTCTTTGCCAGAATCGACTTATAGAGGTTCTTCTGCAAGACACTCATTGAGAGGGGAACGATGACCTGGCCCAGCGGCGGGAGAAATGTCAGGACTTGAGCCTTAGTACGTCGCAGAATGAAGGGTCGGATCTGATCGTGGAGCTCTCGGATGTTTTCTGAGGTCATTTCTGCGTACTTCTCCTCTAGCTCCGCAGCGTTAACATTCTCGTCCAAGAATTGCAGCAAATTGAAGAGCTCCCGGGCATTGTTTTGCAAAGGTGTACCGGTCAGCAGCAATCTAAATGGCGCCCTGACCGCAGTCAAGGCGCCATACAACTGGCTCTTGTCGTTCTTCAACCGCTGGCCTTCATCGACGATGAGTCCTGCCCAGTTCACGCGCCGGAAGATCCTCCTGCAACTATCGTCTGCGGCGGCTTCGTAAGAAGTCACAACGATATGGCATCGAAGCTCTTTGGCGCCTTCCGGAAACATCTCGTATTTAGATGCCATGTCTCGGGCTTGTCCGGAGCCAAAGAAGGTGACTACCCGCAAGGACGGGACCCATTGCTTGATCTCCCGTCGCCAATTGGCGCACGTGGAGTTCGGTACCACAATGAGAAAAGGGAAGCAGTTATGCTCCTGGATAAGCGTCGCCATGTAGGCGATGACCTGGATGGTCTTACCCAGGCCCATTTCGTCTGCGAGGATACCGTTCTTCTGGCTGTACCATTGATAGTACAGCCAGTTCAGTCCGTCGATCTGATATTTCATCAGCTCGCCTCCGACGAGATTGTCCGGTTGCTTCTGCTTCTCCAATTTCGCGAACGGGGCGCTATGGGCCTTCTCAAGGCGCGCTTTGAGGGCACCTTGCTTGGGGTATCGGATATATCGGCCAGCTACCCAATCATTGTAAGCAGTCACGAAATCGAGCCACCTGTCGCCGTCTTCAGGAGTGGGCACCTTCTCCCATACGGCTTCTTCGTACCCAAGGCCCTTGTACTTGATGAGAGCTTGGTCGACCTCCTTTATGCGGGCTTTGTCGATTTCCTCGCTCCGGACATCGACGTAGCTAGTGTATTTCACATCCAGGACAATGTCAATACGAAGATATTCCTCTGGAATGGCGTCTTCCGTTCGCATCTTGGGTCCATCTTCGCGGTTGAAGAATGCTTTTCGCATGGCAGGCGCAGTGACACCCCATGTCCAGGCGCCAGAATACCAGGATGCACGGAAGTAAGACTGCCCTTCCCACTTGATCAGGTACTGCTTGTCGTCCTCGCTGAGCATAGCACAACCAGTTCCCGGCTGGAATGTCTCTACGTCCGAAGGGCGCCATGCAACAATGCCGCCAACTTTTCGATCCTCCGTCTCATCACAATCTTTGCACAACCACTTCCGGGAGTACTCCTGGAATCGTTCGTCTGCGGTCTCGTTCTCATCGCGAGCTATGTCCATGGAGTAAGGCGAGAGCGGGGGTAGGTGATGGTAGTGATACGCGCGGGAGCAACGAGTGCATCGAAAGAGGACGTTGTGGGCGTTATTGATCAGGTGTGGTGGCGCGTCGACGATCGGATCCTCTCCGCCGTTTTCTTCACGGTCCTTCTGCTCCTGTAATGTCGTCTTGCGATGTCGGAAAGGTTTGCACGCCGGGCCGGGCCGGTTGCAATCCTGACATTTCGAGAGATCTGGAGCAGTGGGGTCCTTCAGCTGGTAAGTATTAATGCACCGCTTGCATTGGAGAATAAATTTGTCGTCGGCAACTTTAGTAACTAGATGCTCTCGGCGGCCATGTTGTCCCACACAATTCTTGTGGTAGGCAAGCGAGCAGCCTTGACAATAGATCAGAGGTGCCAAATTCGGGCCTTCGTAGCAGACCTCGCAGCCTTCGGCATGGCGCGACCTAAAGAGGTTGTTGCGTGGAAGAGTCTCAAAGACTACTTTAACAGCAGTGACTCTAGGTACCTTCGATTTGTTAGGTTCCGAGTCCGATCGATATATATCATCGATGTTCGCCTCTCGCATATCGTTCTGGGCTCGAGTCGACCTCTCGGATTGCCTGATACCCGTGCGTGGCAGCTTCTCCACCGGTTTTGGCGGGTGTCCAGGACCACGCTTTCGCTTCCGTCGGCTGTGGATGATGTCTGAGCGCAAGATGTCCATGGACGATGAGTCATATAACTCTTCGTCTTCGTCTTTGTCTTCCTCTTCCTCATCCTCTTCCTCGTCGTATGCCTGGACAGCCGTTCGACTCCGGCTAGACCGCCGCGTCGGTTCTTGAAGCACCTTGCGCCTACGTCGACGCTTTGGACCTGACTCCTCGCTATCGCTTGACGAAAGATCGATTGGATCGCTCCGCCGTGATCGCGTCGACGACCGGCTGCTGCCTCCACGCTTACTCAAGACGCTGAGGCGCTTCTGGCGAGGTTTCCGTGTGGTCGAGACAAGCTCGTCATCATCTGAGGAGAGGCCGAGCCCAGAGAAGTCGGTAAAGGCATTGTTGTTGGGTTTTGAGGGCCTCTTTCGCAGCTTCATGTTCTGTTCTTCTTCCGCCGCTGTCGCTGAGCTGGAAGCGCCGCCGTCGTCGTCGTTCTGGAAGTTTTGGAATACCTTTGGGCCGTCTTCGAGCGCAAGAAGATCGTCAAAGGAAACCTAGGAGTAGGTTAGGGACCGTCTAAGCAATGAGATATATAAGCAAGTGAGTCAAAGTAGTGGTACACACAGAGCTCGGAGCTCCCTGAACCCGACGCCTCTTTTACCGCTGAACCCAATCCAGCTTGCTCTCACCCTCACGTAGAAGCGACCTGTAACCAAATTGCTCAATCACTCACCTCCTTAGTGATGCCGCTAGTGAATTTCACCTCGTATATCAGGTCCCCCTTCTTCTGAAACTCCCGCGTTATGCTCTCAACCGTCTCTTTCGGCTCGTAGTAAGTGTATTCGTGTCGGTTTCGAACTGGAAGCGCTTTTACAGCCACCACCTTCCGCCTGATCGGCGGTGATTGCTGGTTGGCCGCTCCATCCTCTGCAGAGCTCTGGCCTGATATGAAATTCCCTGGCGAGAAAGAGGCTTGTTTCCGCGTCCGTGGAGGGGCTTTGTCGCAGGCTCCCTTCTTGAACGACACCATAAGCTCAGCGCCGTCTCCATCGCTGCTCATCTTCGTCGCTGCTCAATTCCGAGGGAGAGGGGAGCGGTGGTATTAAGCAAAAGGTGGGGATGCCGCGGGAATCGTAGCAGAATAGGACGGGCTCTACGGATACTAGATATGCCGTAGGAGGGGCCGAAGCTAGAGATTGGGATATCGGCTGTCGAGTTCTGCTGGGGAAGTTGTGGGAAGCATACCTCAACGTGAGACGTGCGATGCGACGAAGGTGCCACGTCGGCGTGGTCGAGAGGCGCATAGAGTCTCTTGTAAAGTGCGCATCAATAAGAGAACGCGTGAAGGTCGCGCCAAGACATGAGGAGAGGGCCCGTGCGCCGAAAGTTCGTTGAAGTGAAATGGCCCACGTTTGCGGCTCGAGATGCCCGCATCAACCGCGGACATCGAACCCTCAGTGTCACTCCACCTTCGTCCTGTCATGCTCCAGCCTTGCCCCCTAGGCCCTACAATTCTGCGAACGCATAAGTCGATCGCCCCGCGAGTTTTTTGCCGGCACAAGTCTATTACTGCTGCAATTGAGCGAGGAAAGCAGAGCTACGCAGATAGCCTCGTCCGCAAATCAAGGAATCGAGGCGAGTACAAAGCCGACACGCGAACACACGTGCGACCGCTTCCCCCGAAAACACAGCGAACTCCTTTGCCGGATCGATACCCCGCCTCTTCTCGGAGTGCCTGGAAGGAGAGAACCGAACAGGAGCAATGGGGGCAAAGGGAGCAGGACGAACGAGCGCGAATGCCTTTCCAAGCATCGATCGCGCAGTCACTACCCTATACAACAGCGGCGTCAGAGTTTCTGTACGGATTCTCGAGCGTCTTAGCCGCCATCAAGGCGGGCCGACGGAAATTATACAAGCTATACCTCCACAATCGGGGCTTGAGCCATGCTGGGAAAGACGCTGTTGTCGCGCGAGCCAAGGCTGCACGAGTCAATATACAGGAAGTTGGAGATGAGTATTTGAGAGCTATGGACAAGACCAGCAGTGGAAGACCGCATAATGTTAGTATACGCTACCCGTTGTGTGCCCATGCTGACAGCTCAGGGCTTCATCCTAGAAGCGTCCCCTCTTCCGGTGCCGCCTATAATTGAGTTACGATCCTCCTCCGTGCCACACGCAACTTTCGAGGTCAGCCTCGACGCGCAGACCAGGGAGGAGGCCCAAGTGAATGGTACACAGGAAGAGTACACATACACTTCAGCAGGCTGGAGGCACCCGCTGGTGCTCTGCGTTGATGGAGTCCTTGACGAGGGAAATCTAGGAGCAATCGCCCGCTCTGCCTATTTCCTCGGCGTGGACGCCATCGTCACACCCACCAGACAAAGCGCGCCGTGGAGCCATATCACGCTGAAGGCGTCAGCTGGTGCAGCAGAAGCCATACCTATTTTCAAAACAAACCAGTCGTCCGAATTTCTCGGCAGAAGCGCGCGAAAAGGATGGAGGATATACGCCAGCGATGCCATCCCTCCAGCGGAACAGCCGGCTCTGTCCGCCGGCTCGTCTTCGAACCAGCAGCCTCTAGCCAATTTCGCTAGTAGTATCATATACACCTATGCTCGGAGCGCGAAACGTCTTCCCACGGACCACTGTCCTGTGGATAATCATCCGACCATCCTCATGATGGGCGCCGAAGGAAGTGGACTCCGGACCAGTCTGCTCAACCAAGCGCACTACAAAGTCGGTATTCGACACGGGCGAGACGTTGACGAGGTGGGCGTCGACAGTTTGAACGTAAGCGTCGCGGCATCCCTGCTCTGCTACCAAATGCTCCAGAAGCCGAAGCCAGTGCGAAGAAGTGGAGACTTCCTCTTCTGAGAAAGACGGCCATTCTGTATATATGTACCATATGTATTTTATCTGTGAAGACCGCTCGGGTGGGATAGCATAGAGCCACGGCGTACATGCGATGTACGGTAGCCACGGTTAGGCTCCTCATCCAGCCTTACCACGTCCGTTCTTGTCAGCTGTCGTGGCAGTCCTTGCATTGGCATTCGTCTTTCCCATGCTAGGCGAACACTCCCACGCCAGCTGCCTGTACAGTCCACGGGTAACCGGCGTCCGAACACGTGGGGTAGGACTGAAATGCCCCATCAATTGTACCATGGCATTTGTCTTGCCGCTAGGGAATCAAGATGCCAATTGATATCTGTACGCGTAACCATGTTTTCTTTTTCAGGCATCGTGTTGAGCCGCGTCAAGCTGTGCGCGGTACATCAGCCATGTATCGCCGGCGGTGAGACGGCGTGCAGCACAAGGAACAAGGCGAGCCCGGTCACTGCTGCAGGTGGTGCATGTCAGCTGGCTCGCGGGGTACGTCCTCCATTCTCGTCTAATATGCTGCAGCACTGCAGCCATGCAGTTGTCGCTGCTACTGTGGTTGGACAACGAAAACGTTGGCCGAAAGATAGATTAGCTGCGCTATGACTTGCATGGATACGAGGCTGGCCACTGATAACGACCCCTGCTATGTACAGTATTCGCGCTGGCGAGGCTTTTAGGAGGACTTTGCAGAGTCCAGGGTGGATTAGAAGTGCATCGTGGTACTCTACCCGGTCCCTCCGCACTCTTGAGATCTACGTTGCCTCGGGATGTGCAACAGTGTGCGGCATTTTTAGCTGCTCCGCTCTCTTCCAGCTCGTGTTGGCAAGGCTGGTCGTGGTAGATGCTGGACATGAGCGTGTATCGGAGCAGAGCGCTTAGAGAATGGTACGCTTGACCAACACAGCGAAGTAAGAACTGCACATGATGTAGCTCTGCGGCGAGCCTGCCATGCCTTCATGTTCCCTGAGTATCGCGGTAAGCTCTCCAGGACAGCACGAAGAGGGAAGGCGAATATCGCGGACGCGGCACGCGCTATCAATAATGTTGTAGTAGTGCGCCTTGGAGCGGTGAATAGAGTGCGCCGGGGTCCGCGCTACCCATGCCAAGCGCGGTTGATCGCTTGCCGTCTTTTTGCTCGTCATTGCGCATCACTGCCTTGTCGAGCAGACGTGCGAGCGCAAGGTGCGGCACACGGTCCCACCAGGCCTCCACGCCTGTGCCAGCCCTCGAGCTTTTCTCCCTACCATCGCGAAAGGCCATGCTGCTATCTCATCTCCAGCCCAGATAGCACCCTTCCCACAGATACCGTCCGCGCGGCCTTCCTCGTTCCCAGCAAGACACGCTTCCGACGCCCTACCCTACCCTACCCTACCCTACCCTACCCTTCCCGCTAGCCACGCCCGTCCTGCGAGCGTCTCAATAAAGGCATTCCCACTTCGCGGGCGTGTCAATAGCGGCTTCAGTTACCATGACGCGGAGAATAGTATACGGCTGCGGCCTCTTGCTTACCATTGCCTGTGAGTTTGGCACAATCCTCCAGATGGCGGCAATGGCTGAGACGCGCAGGCACGGCAATGACTATTGCGAGCATTGTAATGCCGCGATGGGTCAGCTTCAGTTCCGTACGTCCACTATCTCTGTCAACAACCTCTCATCCAGGACTTGCTAATCGCCCGCCAGAATGATGAGCGCAAGTTCTCCATGGGCCTCCACAGGCGCTGCTCGAGCGTCACCGGTGCCTGCCACCCCTTCCCGCAAGCGTCGGACTGCTCCAAGGACAAATATTTCTGCAGCATGTGGAGGACGGTCGGCTTCCTAATCTCGTTCGACGTTGTAATCGAGCTTTGCACCCTGGTCGCCTTCTGTGTGATAATCGCTGGTGGCGTACAGAGACGTACAGCAGGGTATATGGTTCTCTGCGCACTACTACTCTTCGGTGGCATCGTACAGTGTGCAGGTATGGCCATTGTGGTAAGTCCATGTCAACTTTCTCGCCTCCGCGCCTCCGCACCTCCGCACCTCCGCATTGCGCAATCCATCGAGCTCGGGCCATGGACATGGGGCAGTTTCGTGAACCACTACAGCTGACACGTACAGGCCTTCCTCTACGACCACCACGAGCGCTTCTTCGAAGGCTGGTACCTTGACGCCTCATGGTCGCTGTGCACCGCTTCCTGGAGCATTCTTGTCCTGACGAGCCTCGGAATCGCAGCTTCGGCATTCTACCTCCCTGCAGAGGGCGACTACGAGCTGGTCCCTGACCGTCAGGAAACCGTGCAAGACGAGCAGTAGGCGCGCCCGATGTCCGAAATACACGTGGATTCCGTTTAATGTCGAGCAGATTACTCTCGCGTATAGACCTCTGGAACGATGGATATCGCCGCGACGAAGGATACCAACAGGAACGCGACTGGTAGCGAAAGAGACGAGACGATGAGACACGGCTGTACAAGATGGCAGAGGGATGAGGAAGGACGATCGCATAATATCCCTGGCGTCGCATCTGAGGTTACAATTTGTTTCTGGACTTTTTTTGCTAATGGCACGGGGTTCTATTTCCCCAATCACACCGCCTTTGTTTTACCGTTAAATTTTCTTGTGGTTTACAGTTTCTTGCTATTCCTATTGATACCCCTCTACTTATCCTGGTGGCTGGGCTTCTGTGCTTTGTTATTCTTAATCATTTAGCGTTTATATCTAGCGGTTTCTATGTCGCTGCATCAATGCACGTCTTCTCCTCTCCTTCCGCGGTACTCCTGAATCCTTGTCCTGTTGACGACGATCACCATCACCAAATTCAGGCGACGCACCCGCGAGACTCTGGTTTTTCGGACTGCATCGCACCAGATTCAGGCAATATGTCAAACATTTGCCTACTACGATGCCGAAATCCTAGATGCGTACGTAGAGAATCCAGCGCACGAGAGAATGCTGAGACGTGCAGTCTGCTCGAACGATTGAAAAGCGATACTGCAACCGCCATATTCGACCCAAGCGCGCCCGGTAAGGCTATAATACTCCGGAATTCTCCAGACGACAACCCACCTAGGAATATGATGTGAACCTAGGAGGCGTCACCCTTCAGAACGCTGCACGAGGTAACCTTGGAACGCGGTGATCGTCTAACTTACTAAATCCGGCAAGGCGCAGTATAACTTTCACTCCTTGGCGCATTCGTGTGGTCCGTGCCATCGACTGCCATTGCAGCACGTGTTCGGCACTCCACTTGCACCATAGCATCTCCTCACCATCTCCCCGCCTCTGCAGCCGCTAACTTTGACTGCCAAAGTCAACCTTGGTTGGACATCGCAGCTCTCCTTGCATGCTTGCTCTCTACTTCCGAGCTACGCGCCTCTCGGGTCAATTAATATCAACAATCAACTTCGGGATCAGCTATAGGTAAACATTGCCATACATTTACTTCTCTTATCAGTAGGGCGAGCTAATGCGCATATAACGACAGGACCCAACATGTGCATGTATTGGATCTACCAGTCCTTTCGCGCGCTACCAACCATCGGCATACGACAGTTCTTAGGAGCAGCGGAAGCGCCTAGTGGGCCCGATGCTCCCCTTCCGTCTTCGGCAGCGGACGATGAGCCCGATAGCGATACACAATTCTTCTTTCGACCTTCGGACAAGGACATTGGAGCAACTCACTTCCCACAACTTGCCCTCGGAACATCTCCCCTTTTCCCTAGCGGCGAATGTGACCCCAAGGATACCGAATATGAGAGCCAGTCGGATGGCAAAGCCCCTACCGATATTCTTTCCATCGAGGCTACTCACTTCCCCCAAGCCAACTTCGGCGACCTCTTCCGTGTCATTGACGCTCAAGATGCCGATGAGGTGCTCGAAGATGACAGCACCTCAGATGAAGGGGTCTCTGATAATGTCTTCTCCCCAGATGGATCTTCGAAATGCACCTCCCGCAGCCCTTCGCCTGAGCCGCAAAGCATCGATAAGACTACAGCTGACGATAGTATCACCCACCGTGCTATTCCCCGGGATGATACCCAGTCACGCGATTGTACGGATGTGGAGCTAGTCGACTCGCTCTCAGACAAGGACCGCAACGATGAGAGCCCAAGCAGCGAGGATGCAGATCTCATTAGCACCCGCCTGCCATTCGACCCTTCCCGCAACTGCAAAGATTTCTGGGCCGCGCTCACGGAAGAGGACAAGAAGTTCTACGGCGACCACCTCCTTGAGGCGCACCAGAACCTCGAAGAGATTAAACAACGACAGGTCCAGTACAGTACGGATTGGAAGCGGCTGTTCGACACATTTTGGGTACACCTGCAGATTGCGTCTTTTGGGCTGAACGCATATATGCTGCATGTCCAGCGTCTACCGAAAGCGGACGTCCAGATTACCTTTGGGTTCAAGCACGGCGCCGAGCTATACGGTATCCTCCACGACAACGATAAGCAAGAGCAATGGGTGTCATTCTTCGAGAACAAGATCACGGTTCTTCTCGATCGAAACGTCCCAGGCATTGAAGAGCGCATCTTCCAGCTCGGCCGTGGCCTATTCTTGGAGTCTGTGTTTCGCACCTACAACCCAGGAAAGCCAAACGCGGAAAGCCATAAAGTTCGCGATGAGGGAATCGCTAAGCTCACTGAGGTCTTCCATGACCACGACGCGGCGACGAACTGCGTTCTCTTACACGAAGCGCGGGAACGCAAGAAGCAGCTTGACAAGAAGCTCGCCCTCATCAAGGAAGAGATACAGGCTGGCATCGATTTCGAACGCTGTCGACATGGCGCTGGCCACGTCAACGGCCTCATCCCTGGCGAAGTTCGCGTCATGGTGGCGGCAGAGTTGGAGTCCCAAGAGTCTTCAAAACTTGTCGAGCCGAATTTGGCTAAACCCCTTCGCGCAGGTATCTTCTATTTGGAAGATGCCTATCTAGACGTTAATGACTATAATGCGCTTGCCGAGCCCATCGACGACTACTTGGCGCGGATAAAGGGCACCAGTGACGAGGCTGCTCAGCTGTCTAAGCTGCACTTCGTCGACGATGTTCCTGAGGCCATCGAAGACCGCTTCGACGAGATAGCCGACCCAGGCATGGACGACCCACGAGACGAGTTGGCATACGACATCTGGAAGATCTACAACAAGTTCCTGGGAGAAGGCTTCAACGCATCGCGCAAGCAAGACCGCCTGCACTTCATGGACTGGCTTCTCCCTGCACGTCCGCCAGCACCGCCAAATCCCGCCCCCAAAGTCCCTAACTACGTCCTCGTGTGGCTTCCGGAATATAGGAAGAACCACCGCATTGAAGTCGACCCGAAGGAATATGTCGAGCGCCCGCGCCCGCATGAAATTAAGCTGTATGACTCGGGTCTCTCATGGGAAGAGGTCTACAATGTGGTCTTCGAGTGGGTCGCAGAGCAGAAGGCCGAAAGCGATTTTCGAAGGCGTCAGGAGGAGGAGCAGAAGAAGGCGCAGCGAGATGCGGACTGCCATCAGGAGGATGTTGGAGACGGGAGCGATGAAGAGGACGATGACATGAACGACGAAGAGGACGATGACATGAACGACGAAGAGGACGATGGCACGAGCGACGAAGAGGACGACGTAACGAGTGAGGAAGAAGAAGACGATGATATGAGTGAGGAGGAAGAGGACGATGACACGGACGAGGAGGGAGAGGAGAATAAGAGCCGCGAAGCAGAAGATCTCGCAGGCGAAGGCGCCGACGACGAAGATCCAAGTTCATCACAACCCTTTGATGATCACGAGGCCATCAATGAAGCTAAGGATGAAGGTGACGTCGACCAGAGCCAAGATGTATCTGCGAACACGGGCGAGGATGTCGACGAACAAAACGAGGACCCCTCAGAGCTCTTCGCAGATAACGAGTGGGTCGACGAGGTTATGAATCATGATAAAGAGGCCAATGACGGCACCATCCACGGCACTAGCGACGAAGAGGGCAGTATTGACGAGGAAGTCAAGGATGCCACGTCAAACCTTCGATCAAACGAGGAGGTCGAGGAGGGAGATAGCCTGCAAAAGAGTGGAGGTACCGCCGGCCTCGCCAATGGAGATGACGGCGATGACGACGACTTCGAAGGACCTATGTATGGTCCCATAAGCGCATGGGATGACGAAGGCGAGCTATAAGGCCTACAGAGGCTCGCTCTGAGGTTAGAATATAAGGAAAGGATAGAGAATTCGGTTCCGATCATGACTGTTTTAGCAAATGCGAATATTCCTCATACTTTGTTTCATGGTCGCGTTCAATTTGCTGTTGCTTATGGGTCTGACTTCCTTCTTCATCTGGCGAGGGGGAGAATTGAAGGATGCATCATCGTAGGTAGACTTTCCATTGATTGACAGGAGGGAAGGCATTGTTTACGCTCGTACCACAGCTTGATTTGTGCCGGAACAATGTCGAGTATTGCACTCATGTAGAGGTCCAGTCAAGATAGCCCACTTCGGCTACTCTGTATGCAGCTACATATTATTGAAAGATGCCAAGACATTACACGTGAGCCGCCTTTCACTGCCCCTTTGCTTATATAATCCGCTAGCGTCTGAGCAGGTCTGGCGCTACATCAAGCTTCCACAATCCTCTCGCTCCATCGCCATAAGTGAACGCAAACACCGACACACCTACATAAAGCGATCGCCGCTTTCAGTAACTGTCACCATAGCGCTTGCGGACCCCACGCAACCCAGCAACTCTTGCTACGTACGATATATCGATTCTTCCTCTCTTCTACTAAACCGCAGGCCCACGATCTCAGCCTTCGCCGAGAGCTGAGCTACCCCTCGCAAGCCCGCAAGCAAGTTGCATCTCTGGTGAGCTCATTTCACGCCTCTAAGGCTGCAGTTGGTACTTTTTTTCATTCACTCTTGGGCTATTGCGCGCCGCACCGCTTAGTCGGGGCCGCGGTCGCGTCTTGCCTCTATTCACTTTTCACCACACCTGCCCCGCCCCATCTCCTATATAGCGTCCTTCCTCTCCCTCGCGTTGTATTTCCCCACACCACACACAACCCCACCACCGTCCAGAGCAACTCGACTCACAGTTTCTTCAGAACTTTCTCGACATACTCCACTCTCCTGTACACTTCAGAACATTCTGAGTGTATTCAGTCGTCATGGCAGGAAAGCTATCGTCACCAAACTTTCGGCCGCTGAAGCCCAAGAGCCGACTGAACAAGAACCCGCCATCGGCGCGCGATCATGAGTTGAACATCGAATACCTGGTACAGCAACTCGAGGCTTTCCTCAGCAAGCTCCCGACCGACAGCGACGTCATCGACTTCATTCTGTCACTGAACGACGTAGGGGACTACAATGAGGGGCTGAAAGCGGGCTACCTTTCGTTCGCCAAGATGATCGACGATTTCGCTAATTCCAAGGGTGATGCCTTCTACTTTGCCAAAATCAAGGGCTGGAAGGACAATCTCGATACCTGGAAAGAAGATCCCAAGGCTGGTGAAGAATGCCTCGTAGCCTGGCTCTGTGATAATTTTCATGATCAATTCCCGGTCTCTGTCGATGGGCCCCAGAGTGCAGCTAGTAGCTCTGCGGCTTCGGACTCTTCGGACGATTCGTCACTCTCGATGATGTCGACTGGTTCTACTTCTGCAGCGGATACTCACGTCAATGCTGCAGTGGAGGAACCCTCGACTCCGTCGCCCTCAAATGACTCTTGGCTCACAGTAGACGCCATAGTCCAGGCCTTTGAAGAGGACGAATCGGCTCCTCCAACTCAGCAATTATCCCGGCTAGAATCACGCCCTGAGAATGTAGGACCGGCCTACCTCTCAGCAATCTCAGACGGTGATAACGCAGACAACACACGCACCGCCATTTCTGGTTGTGAGCAGGCTGCCCCTTTATCTGTGTCAGCTCCCACTATGCCTGCTCAACCTGTTGAGGCTACGCCGGCAATCCCTATGCATCTCGTTAACTGGGCGGTTGGTATGTTGGAGCCAGGAATCGAGAAGCTGAACGAGTTGATACTCGCTGGAGGACCACCCTACATGCCATGGGCCATCAAACCCACAATGTTTAGGACACGGGCCCTTCGATTCGTAGAGTTCATTCGCCGGAAAGTACAGGAGCCAGCCAACCGCGAGAAAGCCCGTGATTATGGGGAGGATGAGATAGGATGGTTCCGGAAACGCGTTCCCGAATACGCCAACGAGTTCAAGCTTTGGGTAGATAACGAGACACTCTGGGTGTGGTGCCGCTTTCTCCATAGCGCCGACAAAGCCGTCTTCAAGGCAATTCCCACGGAGTACATGTCGACTTCAGACGAACAGAATATCCTCGGCCGAAATTTGCGGATCATACAATGTGCCAACGAACCTTGGATGTCTCCCGAAGCTGCTCGGCGAACATTGGCCCAGGATCGACTACGAAAAGCCTTCGACGGAATGAGTTACAAGTTTCTGCCAATGGAACAACTAGTTTACGGCCAGGGTCTCTGCTACAAGCAGTGGCTTCCGTCCCCGAACGACCTCAAGAAATTCTTGGAAGAGCAGGTCCACGAGGAGGCACAAGACTCTCCTACGCGTTATTGGCACCTCGTCGACCAGTACCAGAAGCAGATCGAGCAGTGGGCCAAGAATGATAACTTCACTGCGTGGGCTGATTTCTTGCATCAGAAGCTGCCCGATCAGTTCCCAGCACCACCGCGCAACGGGGATCTGTCAGACGATGAAGATGAGACGGACGAGACAGATAAGGCGATGGACTTTGGCGACGGCGGCTCTGACATTGAGCCTTCTGTGCACCAGCCTGCTGATGTCATCGGTACGACCGAGGCGGGCGACGCGATGGATCTCAGCGAGGGCTCGAACGGCAACGCCAATGGTAACAACTTCTTTGACTGGTCAAACGCTACAGCTGGCAACTCCTTCAGCCCTTCGATGCCGAAGGCACCGAGTGGTAATTTGGGCGCTCCAAATCCCTCTTTTGCTGGCGTTGACCAGACTACGGCATCGCCTTTCGATGGATCAAGCACTCTGACCGCAGGTGCTGCTCAGTCTGGGTCCTCATTCGTCCCGTTATCTACCAGCACCAATGCACATGCCACTGAGCCAGATAGCATCGCAGCGAGTACCGCAGATCCGCTTGCGTTCTTCTCTGGCTTCAAGATTCCGGATGCAGCCTTTCAGCCAGTCGAGGATCCAGGATTCAGCTCCACGCGGCTCGACAAGCAGCGTAAGAAGCTTGCCTCTTCAGCAGAGCGATCAGTGGCCGCAGCGGGCACTGAAGCACCTCAGGCCGGGCCTGCAGCTCAGCAGCAGCCAGCGCTCGTGCCATCCTCTACTGCTGACCAAGAGATGAAGGACGCCGAGCCCTTAGTTGAAGTGAGCGGCGCAAATGGTATTCCTGCTACCATTTCGGTGCAGAACCAGCCGGCTCAGCCTAGTGGTTTCTCGGCCTTCTCAAGCTCCGGACTCTTCGCGAAACTTGGCGGTGGTGGTGACCTATCCAAACTTACTGCTCCGGAGCAGCCGTCGTTCAGCTTCAACGCTGCAAATACCTCTGAGGCTCCGAAAGCTGCATTTGATCCTTCCCAGTTCAAGGATGTCGTCTCTTTTGCTCCGCAACCCTCGCCCTTCGGGACCGCATCAAATGTTGGCAATCCTTTTGGTGTGACACCACTCTTCGCTGGCCAGAGCACGTTCGCGCCTCTGTCGACTACGGCTGGATCCACTCCGACTCAGCGGGCGGTCATCAATGGTGATGATACCAGCACTCCTGCAAACGCTGAGGGTCAACAAGTTGCCGAACCCGGTCTACCTCCACAGGACGAGGAAATGAAGGATGCAGAACCATCGTCAGAGCGGAGCGGAGCCCAGCAGCTCCCTGCTTCCACGGTAGCGATAGATGCTCAGCAACACGACATTCAGGAGCTCATGCCTGCCTGGAGAGAGGAGACGCCAGCCAGTGAACAGAACGCACTGTGGCCCGAAGCCGGTTTGCCCTTACAGTTCGGTACAGGCAACACGCCTGGTGGCCTCTTCTTTGGACAAGCTTCCTCATTTTCCCAAATGCCAGCCGCTTCAGTCCCTATCGACATTCAGACTGAACAGTGGCCCATGGACCGCATCATGCCACAGCTGGATGAGAGTGCGCAGCAGCCGCAGCAGCTGGGCAATACTTCTGCAATGCCACACGACGAGTCCGAACTTGACCGGGCCCTCGAAGAGATCCTTGGGCGGCTTGATATCACATCAAACCCAGAAGCGCCTCTGGGTGAGCTTTCCACTCAGCCGGAGGAGGTTTCCACCGTGCTAGCCGCTAATTGGGATGGCTTGGAACCTCAGGATGCCTTCGGCGGAGAGATTACCATTACTGCTCCGGAAGGTAAAGAACCTGTCATCGAGCCTTCCGTCAACGCTCCTGTTGAGACCCCTTGGGCTGAGGGCGAATATGCGGAGCCTCAACAGCCGGCTCCCCCGCAGAACCTAGAGATTCCGGCTGTAGATTTGAACGATGCACTGCCGAAGGAGGAGATCGAAGTGGTTTCTCCGGAGAATTACGCCTCAGATGATGACCAGGAGTTAGAAGAAATATGCTCGCGTCAGATTTACGAGAACTCACCGCAAAACGGGGGTGCCAACGAGCCTCTGTCAGGAGAGTCGGACTCGTTGTTTGGCGACGAGGGTGGCAATTCAGATGCTATCAGCCCGGATGGACTTGAACTCGTGTGGGACGCCCCTCTACAGGCGTCTGAGAACCCTGTTGTCGACATGTACGAAGCACCGCTCAAAGAGCCAGCCCACCAATCTTTGACGGATGATCAGGACCCCATTAACGGCGACAATGGCGACAACCCAGATGATGTGCCGCCGCATGAGAATCAGACTCTCAATCTCTCGTTGGATAATGAGGATGTGGTTCATGGAGATAACGATCCCGCCTTGAAGTTGAGCGAGTCCAGCAATTCTCCTGGTGCCCCGCCTGCGGCAGCGCCCGAACAAGACGAGCTTTGCCAGGACGCTCATGCAAGCACGCCTGAGGTTCCGGGCGTGGATCTGAACGCGTCGCTGCTCGACGAGGCCGCAAACGTACCTTTGCCAGAAGACATTGGCTCCATTTATGGTGGTGACGGCGCCGACGCCGGAGGTATGCAGACGGAGGAGAGCCACGGCCATCCTATTCCCGACGGGGTTGAGGCTCAGCAGAATATGACTGTCGCTGAATCCAGCAATGCCAGCGATCTTTCTACTCCCCCGCCACCAACAGAGCCGGAGCAGTCTAAGCCAAACCAGGAGGAGGAAGGCCGAAATCCGCTAGATGGAGAAGACGGATCAGGCCTCCAGGATGTCTATAGCGACCTAAACTCCGGTCAGTCGGAAACTGGAAATGAAGACGTGGGTTCCGGCCTTGTGGATACGAAGTCGGAGAATCCCCCGATGGTAACTCAGGGAGTTGAGGGTGAAAAGCAGGAGGCCGGCGCCATAGAGCCGAAATTGGCAAACTCTGTCGATCCCGACACGGCTCCAGCACAGGCTCCCGCCCCAGTACCGGCTCCAACCCCAGCCCCAGCGCCGGTCATCAGTTTCGATCAGGCGCAGCTCATCGCGGCGTTGAATGCTGTTCTCGGTCCAGTGACCACCCAGCTGGCCGATCTTACGTCTGGAATGAACACCATCATGACGGGCATGGGCGCCATGGATGCCAAACTGGACGACCTCTCAAGCGAGATCAGCCTGGTCAAGGAGCAGCAGCGTAACACTCAAGTCCCTGCGCTTCCCCAACCATCAGCCGATTCTGAGCGCTTGGCAAAGTTAGAAACCGAGCAGACGCGGCTGGCAGATGGCATGCAGGAGCTCAATGACCGGGTCCATGGGGTACAGACCCGCCTGGAATCTCTCGACGGGCTCGTCAAGGACAAGTTTGGGCATCCTCTCCCGTCCGTTGAGAAGATGCTAGATGAGCTTGTAATCAAGCCAGCCGAGGAGTCTAAACCTGCAGCTGGTATCGCTGGCATATCTACCTCAGGTGGCGATGTAGCGAAAACCAGGGTGGAAGAAGTTGTTAAGGACCCCGCTTCCGACAGCAAGCCTGTCGAGAATCATCCGGATGAGCCTGCTACTGAGGCTAAGGACTCCAAGGCGCTAATCGGTCCGCTAAAGAACACCACGGCCCAGAACACAGTCGAGCAGCCAGAAGCAGAGACCATGGTCGTCGTCCTTGCTGACGATAATAAGGGTACTGTTAAGACGACCCTCTCCTCCGGTCAAGTTGAACAACAGCCCACGAAGCGTGTCTCCGTCGACGTCTCCAAGCCGAAGCAAGTCAGCAACTGGTGGCGCGATCTCCATGTCGAGCTGGTCAAGCTCCGCAAGCCTTCAGAAACCACCGACTGCTTTGAAGTCTACCTCTTCGTCTGGGAGCGGCTGAAAGCGCTCGGCATGCCACAAGACAAGAACGTCCCCATGGGCGCGGCTTTGTGTGATCTGGTCTGGTTCGTAATGAACGTCAACTTGTATTACGATCCGCGGACGACTGTCCTGCCCAAGAATCTTCTTGACGTCCAGCAGAAGCTGTATGCCGAATGCCAGGCGGTTTTTGATGGCCCCGATTGGCAGGACATGGAGAAGGTGCTGCGCGTCTCACGCAAGATCGTCGCGCTGGACAAAGCATCTCAAGCTTATGCTGACATGCACCCCGGCCACACGAACAAGGACGCCGGTGCGACGCTTGAAGCCTATAAGGCTACCGACAAGCCATTCGACTATAAGCGGGTTCTCAAGGATATCGCATGGATCGACGACACGGAGCCAGGGCTTCGGGCCTCCGACACGCCTCGGCCCCAACTGTCCCACTTCAGTGCTCTCCACGACGCGCTGAGCACGGAGTTTCGTCGACATAGCATGACCGAGAACATGGTCGAGAAGGCGGTGCAGCAGATGAAGCATATCATCGTCTTCAAGTGCCAGCAAGACTGGGAAGCCGACTTCAAAGATCCCGACGCGATCCCGCGCGCAATGAAAGATGCTGCACAAGAGCATCTGGGTGAGTGCCTGGCTCTTCTCGATGGATTTGGCTGGCAGGACTACGAGAACCTATGCCGCGCCGCACAGAAGGCACAAACCATCATGGATGCTCAGACGGCGTATGTGGACGTGAAGTGCGACTTCTACAAGTCGGCGTACGGACTGCAAGCCCAGCAGAAGGCCGGGAAGCAGTACGCCGAGAATGTCATCAGCAAACTTGAGCCCTTGTACGAGTGCTATAAGGGGAATAAGCGGGAACGCGATTCCCTTGCGAAGTCGATTTCCCTACACAACAAGCCGGGCACTGATCTGTCGGAAGAGATCCAGTGCTGGGCGGAAGAATGCAATGCGGAGGGCGACGGGATACAGGGTCGAGCGAAATCGATGTTGGACACTGCCATGCAGCACCTGGAGTGGTACATCGATGTGTTCGACAAGCTGTTCCGGCAAGATCTTCAGGCCGACACGCGCACCGCGCTCGAGGACCTGGTGCGACTGCAGTACCCCGATTTTAAGAGCCGCGTCGAGAAAGCGTATAGCGCGTTCGACTTGCCGTTTAACCAGTTCCTTGGAAATGCAGATGATGTAAGTAATCCTGTGCACCGGATCAGCGAGAATCTATTTGCTAACCTATTCTAGATCATCAGCGGCAACGACCAGTTGTAGATAGTCTTCCCTCACCCCGTTATGGACATGCTCACATGTACGATGACCAGCCGGAATGCCTTTCCCGTCTTTCCTCAGCATTTGGCACTCAAAATTCTTGTCCTTTTACCTCATATCGAGAGCTCGACGCAAGCTCTCACCCCAAAGCTCGAGTTCCAAAAAGCACCGGATACAATCAGACCCGCATTGATCTCCGGCCCAAACCCAAAAGGCCAAGTCCGTCCGCCATCTCCATCTTCACAAGACTGTCCAGCCCGAATGAAACGAATAACTGCTCTACCGCCTGCAGCACCATCGGCCTAAACGTAGGAACCGATTAGGAACGGTAGAGCAGCCGACAAGCTACAACAAGCCCCAAGCAGCCGGGAAACACACCAAAGGACGATATGGAAAGCAGTGTGTAGAAGGATGGTGTCGAGGCGGGTTTTGTTGAAGACGAAAAAGGTTGGCGGCGGTATCGATTTAGTGGGCGGAGGGTGCATTGCGAATGGTGGCTTTCGCTACACAAAGGTACAAATAGCGATAGACATGCTTTTCTAAGAAATAGAATGTGCGACACTCAAATATCCGTTCTGCAACGCATATGGAATCGCGAAGTTGTGATGCGCACATGCAAAGCCGCAACAGCGTAGTCGGCTTCTGAAGGCGACGGGAAGGTTGTTCAGAGCTACCGGGTCGGAAAGCGCTATCGGGGTAGGAAGAATGCGCTGCCAGAGGACGATACGTTAGCTAAACAACGCGGCAAGAGAGTACAGGAAGGGCTTACCAGCAGCGAAGCCCAACACATGTGAGTGACGGTGCACACGTAGGTCTTTGAGACTTCCGGATGTTGAAGGTCGCGGAAGTCGAGATTACCAGACGTGAATACAAACCATGAGACCGCCGACCCACGAAAGCGAAATAGAAACAAAAGAGAGTCCAGCATTGATGAACATGCAAATCCGCTGTTTGGATATCTATGCTGAGTGAGACTCTTTTCCCGTCCTACCCTATATGTACCCAGTATCAAGCGCCATGCCTATATCCCACATACGAAAAAAGGACAAAAAAACAACTCCATGTAGATGCCAGCAGCCGCAGCGTCCTCGCCGACAGCCTAAGAGATGCCCTAATATGGAACATGAAACCAAAGATGCCAGAGTGAATGACGGCGAGGGCAACCACCTAGGCCACCCACGCTCTCCGTCTCTTCCCATCATCCTCTTTTCCCGCCTTCTCCTTCTGCTCTTTCTCCTTTCTCTCCCTCTCTCGCTCCTCCTCCTCCTTCTTCTTCGCCTCCTCAATCTTAGCCCGAAGCTCCGCTTCCTCCTTCAACCGCTCCTTTTCCGCATCATCCTGCCCCTCATGCAGCCATATGCCCTTGCTATCGCCAAACACTTCGGTGACCTCCTTGACTGTTCCGCAGACACCATCGACCTCACCCCACGGCAGCCATAGCGCTTCCTTCTCGGTCCAGACGCCACCGCGCCCGCCGCGCTGGTCCCAGAGCCGGTCGCCGCCGACGGCTGCGGTATGGTATCCTATTGGGGATTGCGGAGTGCGGAGATATTTGCGGAGGAGGGCGCGCTCGTAGCCGGAATACCAGAGCGAGGTCCAGGTTATGTTTGCGGAAGCGGCTTGGTGGGCGCGCGGGTCGGGAATGCGGGCGTCTTGTACGGTACGGGAGTTAGGCGGAGCCCTTCGGTTGTCGACGTGAAGGATGGCTGGAATGGCACCTGTGTAGGTATTTTGAACGAGCTCGAGCTCGCTCCATGGCGTGTCGCGGGGCTTGAGGTTGTCAAGATCCTTGTCGACCTCCAGCCTGTCGATGTATGCGGGTTTCTCGTTTGGGGAGGGGTTATGCTTGGATAGATCGGGCGTCCAGAAGGGCGGTTTTGCATTTTCCAGAGCGGTCGGGATTGAGAGCGCTGGTGTAGGCGTGTCCGCGTGGTGAAACTGGGATAGATCAGTGGAGTTGTCGTGAACAAGCGGCACCAATTCGTCTTCTGCGCAGTGCAAGAGAGGCTGAAAAAGCGTATGCGTGTAGTCGAGGCCGATGGAGAACTCGTATTGCTTGCCTTCCTGCAGCGTGACATGTGCGGTTAGATCCTCGTCTTCGGGCACGGGTTCCGCAGCGGATCCACCAAACCAGTCCAACCATTTCGAGGCTATCGGTTTCTTGCTCTTCTTACGGGCAATATCCCTCGCCAGTTGCTGCTCGCCGAAGATGGTAGCCATGACGGACTGCACGGTTGCAGACTGACTCTCCTTATCCTCAAACTTCTTGACAGCCGCCTCAAAGAGCATTCTCATATCCTTGGCAGGGCCCATGAGCATCGCAGAATCCAGGTATCTCGCCGGAGTCAGCTCAAGCACCTTTCCCGTCCGAGTCCCATAGATGTCATCCGGAAGCATCGACTGCGGCACGTATTTGCACGCGAGATCCTCTCCCTCACATGTCTTCTCCGCGCCAAACACGATCGTCTGGGTGTACTTCTCTCCATACTTCTCGGCCAATCGCTTATTCGCATCATCTAGCACGATTTGATATTGCCGAATGATAACCTCGCTCGGGAGCTGGAACCACGTATCGCGCCCATCTGTGATCAGCAGCACATCCTCGTCATTGACTAGTCTACCATTCGTGAGGTACGACAATATACTCTGCAACTTCTCCCCCTCCTTCTCCGCCTTGTTCGCATAGTCTTGGTAGAGGTTGATTATGGTAGGCGGCGGGTAGTTGAGCATCATGGCGGAGAGGGTGGTTTTGCAGAACTCGGGGGTGACGTCCTGGGAGGGCATGAGGAGGTGGAAGTTCGGTGTCGCTTTGTTCAGATGTGAGGGCACATTCTCTATCTCGCCGTTCTCGAGCTCGAGCGTTGTATTTGAGGGTTTCAGCGGCGATGATATTATCGAGGGGAGGTGCGGGAGGTATGGTCTCCATGACGGAAGGTGGTAATTCGACGAGAGGGCCTGGTAGCTTGACGACAGAGTCTATGGGTCTCTTGTTAGCGGTATTCGTAATGTCGAAGTCCATGGCATCTCCATATTCTCTCCGCGCGCATCGCGCGTCTAGGAAATGCCGTCCAAGGAGGTATACCCACCTCCGAATGCCTTGCGCCGGCCAGCCCCAAGAAAACCAGCGTGAAGACGGCCGTCGCAAGCAGCACTCTTCCTCTCCGACTCCTCGCCCACTGTATTGCCGCGTTTCCGAGCTCAGCCGGTGAGCGCCGTGGCGACATGGACATTGGCTCCATGGTGTCTCCGGCCATGACGGCGCTTGTTCGAGGGTCGCCTTACGCCCGCTTCGACGTATGCGGACCGCACCTCGATTGCGAAGTAGAAGTAGTAAAGCGCGCTACGAAGCTGTGTACGTATGCGTCGGCGGAAGCGACTCCGCGTCTATTTCACTCTGCGCGCGGGCTCCGGAAGTCGGTGTGGAAGTCGAAACGCAATGAAGGAGAGCATTCACGGCGGTAGCGCAGGAGGGAGGGAAGTTCAGCATGATGCGACGTCTCTTTCGGGCGCCTTACGTGCACTCTCCCGCTCAGCCCTCCAGGGCTCGTCTTGCGCCGTTTGTGGAAAACGAAACGGTCCCACAGGGCGGGCTGACAGCCAAAGAACGCGCGCCAGTCCCGAACAGCCAACCCCTGTCACTCAGCCGCTAAGCTGTTTTCGGGCCCGCGTACCAAAATAGTTCCGACCCCATCTTTGATGCGAACGCTCCTGTGATCTCGCTGTGATCTCGCTGTGATCTCGCCAAAACGCCGTGGGCCTGACATCTCGTGATGCATTAGTCTAACGATGCTTGGTCTGGCCCCACAGCACAGAATCACGGAAAAGGAACATGGCGCAATGCGAAAAGGAGGCACGTCCGTATAGGAGTTTATCGAACGGCGGGCGTCAAAGGCCGCCAACCTATTTTTCCTCCGACTATATATTATTATACACGCTATCCATGCAAGGGTATCTCGCTGCGCCAAAACGCCGACTATTCAACCAACTGCCCCTAGGCAGGAGGCCTAGGTCGGAAACAGGTACAGCTTGATCGTCTTGTTGCGGACCTCCTCGCACTCTCCCATAGCTCGAATGTGCATATCCTGTGCGACTTTCCATACCTCCATAATCTTCTCGTCCTCCTACAAACATTAGCTGCAGACATTCAGGACCCATTTTGCAGAGCCAAAGCACATACCTTCATCTTGTTCAAGTAACTGGCAAATCCCAGCTTCTTCGTGGTCTCGCCCCGATTGTGGATGAACCGCGCATCAAGATCCTCCAGCTCGGCATCACGTGCTGCGAAGTGCGCCGTCATAGCTTTACTGTACTCTTTGAAGTCACGGACATAGCCCTCCATTTGCGTGAAATAGGAGTTCGTGGACGCCTGATCGAGCTTGGCGGGCGGCTTGGGAGCTCCTGGGACAGTGGGGAACTTCAGTTTCTGGGCTGTATTGGGCTTCGTTGGGTGGGCGGTTGAGGCCTGCGACCGGAAAGGGAGATTGTCCTTGAGATCATTAAGACCTCCGAGCCCGCCGTTGGCGGCTGGTAGGAAAGGTTCCACGTTTGCCAGACCAGATAATCCGCCGAGACCTGGAGCAGGAGGTTCAGCACTAGTGGCCGATGGTGATGCAGTAGCATTGCCGTTTGCTGCTATACCTGCCCCATTGGTATCGGCCTTCTGGTGTTGAAATGACTTCGGTCCTGATTGATGTCTTGGAGGCGAAGGCTTGCTCTCCTCCATGGTCGGCGTGTTTGAGTCAATGTCCATAGCCTCGCCCCCACCGTTACTAGCATCCTCAGCGAATGCTTGGTATTTCCGGTTTGCCTTTGACTTGGTCGACTCTTTGGCGACTGTAGCACTTCCCTCAGGCACTAGGGAAGGTTTTCGAGCGGCATTGGGGCGCTTGCCGGTGGCAGACCCACGACGCGGGGAAGTCTCTTTAGTTTTCAGCGGATACGCCCAGCTTGGTTCCCTGAAGGTTTCAGCCCAAGCTTCCGGAGCAAACTTTGACGTATGAGGCGCAGGGGCAGCTCCCCTCGGGAAAGCAGTCTGGGCATTCGGCGGAGGCCCAGGAGGTGGTGGAGGCGGTGGCACGTGCGATGATTGCGCTTGCCCGAAGGAAGATGTTGGAGGCGGTACGGACTGACCGGAGAACGGATTCCTCTCCGCGGTGGTTCGCTGCGAAGTTCTACCCCTAGTAGGTGACGTCCGGCCTTTGCTAGATGTCCCTTTCTGCATATTAGGCGCAAAGTAATCTGGTTTTCCCTCAAATTTACCATGCCAGTCTGAAGGTGAGAACTTCATATTGATGCTCTCTTCGCTTCTGCTCTTGAATGTGTTCGGTGGGTTCGGCGATGTTCGGCTAGGGGGGCTATGCTTCTGCGGTGTCCCAAACACTCTCTGTCCCCAGGACTGCTTCTGTTCCGGCGATTCTTTCTTCGGAGGCGGGCCGCGATGCTTGGTCCCTGAGCGGAAGACCTCTGATTCGGACTCCTCGTCACTTGAGCTAGAGTACATATTTGGGAAGCGTTGCTTTGCTGTGTGTCCGCCGTACGAGTTTCGCTGGGGCCGACGACCAGAGTCTGAATAGAAACCTTGGTCCGCAGAAGAGCCGGGTCGATGCGGGTGCGTGGGAGAATTACGAACGCTCGCGGACTTCCCAAGGCCATCTCCGAACATGGATGTCCGCTCACCAGGCACAGTGGAGTAGTACGGGGTGCGCATACGATTTGCCTCTGCGTACGGGACTTCATCGGCGGTTGTGTGTGGTTTGACGTTTTTCAGCGGCTCTTCGGGCACGGGTGGCGAGGGACCCGGTCGTTCGTAGTTTGATCGGTAAGAAGAGCGTGCCTGACCTTCATCGCCGCCTGGAGTTGCAGGGTCAAATCCCGTCTTCGACGACGGCACCCTCGTGCTCTTGCTGCGTCCAAAAGGGACCCCATTGGGGTTACTCGGATTGTATGATCGAGGTTCCTCCGCCCGGGGCTGCTTCATCTTCTGCCATGCTGTGAACACGTTCGCCCGAGCCTCTGCATCCTTTTGTCTCGAGTCTGGTCGCTGTGCCGTTGGCGGTGCCCTGAAGTTCTTGCTTGTGAACCGGTCTGCACCGTTCGCAAAGGTCGGGTGGTGCTGCGGCGGAGGGGGACGCTGCGGGGAGGGCTTCGGGGGAGGAGCACGATAGTAGGAGCCGCTGGGCGTAGTCGTGTACGCACTCCTGCTGGGCGGTGGTGGGCGAGTCCGGGGAGTATTGGGATTATAGGGCGGAATATTGAGGTTTCGGAACTTCTTGCGTTCGGCGTCGTACTTTGCTCGCTGGACGGGGTCGGTCAAGACCTCGTGGGCAGCCTGTATCTGCTGGAACTTTGCAACGAACTCTGCCTCGCGGCCCGGATTGCGATCTGGATGCCATTTCAACGCGAGCTGCCGGAATGCCTGCGGTCCGCATTAGCGAAGCCCTTGAATCGACCAAGGGCCTTGGGGACTGGCTTTCCGGAGCCAACCCGCTGTCTACCCCGTCGCCCGTACCTTGCGAATCTCGTTCTCGTCCGCATGTGCAGAAACCCCCAGCTCCGCATAGTAATTACTCGCGGCGTCCGCCTTGACCATCGCGATGGTTGCAGCGCAAACGCGGTTGAAGAGGTGCGCGAGCCTTGAGCGAGGTGGCTGCTAGATGTTGACACCAGCCGTGTGCACTAGCGCAGGCAGTTGCCCTTCACTGCCCGGGTGTTTCGCTCGTCGCTCGCGAGGCGGTGCGTTGAACCGTTCAGATGATGAACAACCGTGCGCGTGCAGCTGTTTCTCCGACTCGCATAATGTCTGTCCTGCCGTCGTCGTGAGTACGCGTACAAGAGCGCAGCCGGAAGTGATCCAAGGCAGTAGTGGTCGAAGGGCGTCAGGAGCAGCATCGGCGCACGGCGTAAGAGGTTGCAAAAGCAAGTGAGCTGTACGCCGAATTCGATTGGAGAGGCGGCGGTAAGCAGCTGCAGCTCTTGGTGGTCTGGTGGTTTCGTTGTCGTGGACACCGAGTTCGGCGGGCCCCGCTGGTGCCGCTGCCACCTCCGCGACCGCGCACCCTGCCCAATTCAGCCCTCAGGCAGATCCTGGCGAGGTCCCTGAGGGACGCGCTGGTGCCTTTCGAAGCTCTGCCCAAGGCTGCTGAAGAGCATCTTTGCGATTCTGCCTTGGGTTCGTCATCAGCGTCACGCTGCTTGCAAAACAAACTGACATCATGCAGCACAACCGGTGAGTGCTGCCAACATCGCTGCCGATAGAGCATGGATTAGGGAAGCCTGCTGCCGAGCACGTGAGAGCGGTCTACCCGTGGACGACTTGTCGCGAAGCAGCCTTGGAATCGCCCTGGGCACTGCATACAGCGAGCGTCACGGCGCAACTTGGATGAGGGCCATCGAAGCCATGAAATCCAGTGGAATTCAGTTTGATGGTCTCGACGAGCCATTATGTGACCAGACCGAGAAACTATATAGCCTTGAACAGCTTTTTCCATTCACGCCATTCCATCCGCTCGAAGAGTCTGACCACGCGGTCCACCAGGCACGCAACACACTCAACGCATCTAGCGGTAGCGCCAGAGGGAGAGGGTGTTGTGTCTCTTCCACGTCTTCCTCCTGCCGGCAGTCGTCTTGTTGAAGCCGTGTCCTTTGCCCAAGCCACGGCTCTTCTTGCCGGTCGCGGTGAGACCACGAGCCTCGCGGTGCTTGTGGACGGGCTTGACGATCCAGTTGATGCGGGGGTCGCGGCGGATGGCCTTGTGCTGGGGATCGACGAGGATGACTTCGTAGTACTTGTAGGTTGAGTCCTGGTTGATCCAGTACGAGTTGAGGACGCGGAGATTGGCGCAGCGCCGGCCGACACGCTCCTCGGCAGTCGACTTGAGCGAGCGCTGGTACTTGAGCTGGTTCACACCCTGGTTCGTAGGCTTGCCTGTAAGATGTTAGAAACTCATCGCCGAGGCACATTGCTCGCCCTGCATACCATAGGTAGCACCCCTAAGCACGAATTGTTAGCACTCTTCCCATCCCGCTGCCTCGAGGCAAGCTAGTGTACGTACTTCGGCACAGGCCTCTTGCGACCTCCACGGCGGACACGGACGCGGTAGATAACATAGCCCTGCTTGGCCTTGTATCCGAGACGACGAGCCTTGTCAGGGCGCGACGGGCGGCTGGCACGGTGGATGACGTTGAGTTGGCGAAGCTATTGATGCACTCTCAGCTATGTTCAACGAGTGACATCAAATTGGGGTAGAAGGCCCAGAAGTATAGTTCGTACCTCCCAGCACTGTCAAATGGTCAGCAAGTTCCTGTAATCGCAATTGCGAGAGTACCTACGCGCACGCGCATCAAGAAGCGCATCATATCAGACTGCTTCTTCTTCTGAAGCTCCTCGACATCTGCTACATATTAACGTTGATCGAACAGGCGCAAATATCGAACGGCTTACACTTGAGGGCACCCATCTGTGGCGATGTCAGTAGTTGTTCGGTCGGGGAAGTTTCGAGCGGTATAGTACCTTGGCTGGTCGTTGGGTTGTCGGTTCGGTTCGATGTTGGTGTTGAAGCTGCCCGCACGAATTTAGGTTGTGTGGGCTGACTAACCAAAACTCTTGGCACCGCCAGGTCTTGAGCAAGCGAGGGCTTCAGAGTATCGCCGTCTCAATCGGAGGCTCGATGAGCCGGCCATCCCATTGCTCTAAACGCGCCATTCAAGGCTTATGTATTTCGAACTTGAGGCATACGTGTATATACCTAGGTATCTCCTTTGCAGTGCGCAGCCAACGTTCCTCCTATGAACCCGTCTCATCCTTCGGAATGCCCTTCACCATCCTCTTAACACCCCTCTCCGCATATCGTAAGCTCTTCAGAAGCTCATAGTTGAGCTCTGCGTGGTTCTTGTCTTCTGCTTCCTCCATGTCTCCATCCTCACCTTCTCCGTCCTCGGCGCCTAGTACCTGCTTCACATTCCTGAGCGCAGTCCTATGTCCAAGCTTTAAAAGCCTCTCTGTCTCCTCCATATCGCGTGTCCACGTTTCGGTAATTGGATTCTTGTCCTCTCCCGCCATTTCAGCGATCATCGTCTCGAATGTGTTGTACTCCACGAGCAGGCTCTGACAGGCTGTGTTGACTCTTCCGGCAGAGTTGAAGAGAACGTTGTTTGCGATCGCCGTGCGAGGAAATGTGGCGACGTCGTCTCTAGTGCCTTGGTTGGGCGTCTGCAGCGCTTCGAAGATGATGCAGGCAAGCTCATTGCGGCGACGGCTGTTCTCTTTCTCCCTGCCGCCCGGAATGGTTTATTAGCTTGTTTCTCCCAATTGTTGCTGGACCGGGTTGCTCACGCCTGGTGCAGTCGCTGCTGCAGTAATGTCTTCAACTCCCTCTGATCAACCGCGACCTTGGTGTGAAACTGCTTGATCTCCTTGTCGTCTCCCCTGGGTTTCTTAAGTAGCGGTCGAAGGGCAAGCATCTGTCTAATCTCGAGTCAGCCGTTTCTCTCCCTGGCTCCAATACCGCCGGCACGTACTGGCTCTCTGTATTCGCGTCCTCGTCTAAACCACGCTTTTGGGCACGACCTCCCTTCATGGTGACTTCTCGAGTGTTCTGCGCCAATTGATCTCGCTTGTGCGCCATGCTGTGGATGTGAGGGTGAGGTGCGGGAGGTTGCCCAGGTGGGTGGTGGAGTCGATGGAGCGGTGCGGAGGAGGAAGGCGCGACATCAGTCAGTATGCCGCTCTACGCAGGGCCGAGCAATCACGTATGGGCAAATTGAGAGCACTGCGCAACGTAGTCGCGCGGACTAGCAAAAATGCCGTGCGTGTGACCCACGTAATTGCATCGTCAAACGCCTGATTGTTGAGGCGCAACGCCAGCTTTCTTTGGCGGTTTTCGCCGTCTCACCACCTTGATTGCCTCGGCGATCATAGGATTCGACAAACGCAGGTACCTAGCCTCAAAAGCGCGGCCTGGTGTTAGCGGGTATCATTATATTAAGATGTTCGAATTCTTCACAAGGAATATCCTGTGCACTGATGCATTGCAAGTCACCTTTGGGCATGCCAACACATCACAACCATCATCTGGGAGGAAGAGTTTCCCAAAAGATTTTCTGATTTCTCTATGCCATAGAAGGCCGCTATCTGATTAGAGACATGCATATATGCCTTCCTTATCCCGCAATGCTTGAGGAGGAGAGGAGATCCTGCCTTCTACTGGCATGCCGAATGAAAGGAAGCAGGGGGGTCTGGGGGGAAGTAGTGAACACAATGAAGATGATTGCCATAGCCATGTCGGTCTCATCCCAGCCCCGTTGAGAAAAGCCATAGCCATCAGTGCCAGAAGCACCGATGTGCGTGTGAACCGTGTAAATCCATGTAAACCGTAATCATGCCGAGAGACGTCCATGCCAGGACTCTCCGAACCAAGGAGGTGAGTGGTCAGTCTTGATGAGGACTGAGATCGGTGAAGAGAGTGAAGTAGGCGCCAAGCTTACTTGCCGAAAGACAAGGCCTGCATGGCTGCGAGGAAAGCGGGATCATAGGGGGCAGAGGAGGCAGCGCCGGACGTAGCAGTGAAACCACTACCGTAGCCACCAGCGGTACTGAAGGCGGAGAAGTTGCCGCCGCCAGAGGTGTATGGAGCGCCGTAGCTCGGAGCGGTACTGTAGTTGATAGTGGCTCCGTAACCAGTCGTTGCGTACGGGTTATAGGCCGGGGCGGTGCTGTATGGCATGGGGGCACTAACACCCGAGGTGAGATACTGACCGTACGATGGGCCAGCGGTAGAGACGCCTGCGTAGGCAGGAGCATATCCAGAGGTTGCTGCCGTCGTGGCTGGGTAACCGCCGCGGAATGACGGTCCACTTGAGGCAGTATTGAATGCGGGTGACGCGGCGTACGTGGCTGGCGGATAGTAGGCACCATAGTTCATGGGGCTGCCGCTAGCGGTCACGTTTGGGTAGCCGTACCGCCCGTACATCATGTCCGCAGGGACTTGCTGACCATGGCCCCATTGAGGCATTTGGTAACCTCCCTGCGAAGCGAAGGGCGGAAGCTGGTGAGCGAACGGGTAGTAGCCGTCGTCATAACCCGCGTGACCACCGTGAGCACGTCCGCGACCTGAACCGAAGTTAGTAGGGCATTGTGAAAGCAGCCTCGGGGAGTACTTACCGTAATGCTCGTTTGGGCGGTAGGCGTTGTGTCCAAAGCCGGGCCCGACGGAAAGGGATGCGTTCTGGGCACCAGATGGGAGAATAGCGCCTGGACCGATGGCAGACGGAGGCGGTATGTGCATCAAGCCATTTGGGTTGACGACCGAGGCAGGATTGACTGCAGACATCCAGATCCGGACCTTATACTGCTTGAAGAGATCAGTGACGAGATCGTTGAAGTTGACATAGGCCTCGGCGTAGTAGAAGTATGTGAGTTTGTGGTAATCGCTATTGCTGTCAGTAATGCGATGATGTGAATCATATTGGGGACTTACGCCTGGTACTCTGCATCCAGAATCTCCATGGGAAGATTGTGCTCGGCTGCCTTCTGTGCTCCGACGCGCTTAGCCTTCGCCTCCTGGCCCTCCTTATCACGCAGGCCCATAATCTCATGTTGCTGAGCAAGGCGCTTGATCATCTTTGGCTTCGCATCCGGATCTTGCTGGGCACCCATGCCAGTGAGCTGAGCTCGGTTCATGTTGTGGGGGAAGCCATTGGCTCGAGCCAGAGCACCGAGCATGCCCCCGTCGTTCGAAGCGCCGGCCAGGGAGTACTGCGAGAACATGACGAGCCAGCGAAAGTGCTCCTCGTTCGCTTCGGCCTTGTACTTCTTGGCATCCTCCAGGCTCACGTCGGCATGAGTAACCTGACCGAGATCAGCGCCACGGTCGCCTTCAACAATAACGAGGTCTCCCCGACGAATCTCCAGACCAGTGTTGTCATAGAGGTAGTAGACCTCTGCGCGAGAGCACTTGAACGCAACAACGAACAGGCGGCGACCCGGACGGCCGAGGACTGCCGGTACAGCATAAGGGTTAGCGCACGTCGACGCGGTGTGAGACGCAACCGGGTCGGGATGGGCGGCAGAGATGGCGGACGCATTGATAGCCCGCGACGCTGGGCCATAGCCGGTAAAGTAGGCTGCGGCGTCGAAGGGCTCCAGCGGAGCTGGTGAGTGTGATTGCTCAAAGGGCGAAGCCTCCTCGTCCTCTTCCTGTGTGTTGCCCAGGGTCGACAACTGGAAGGTTTGAGCGTGGCTGCCGTAATGAGCGAAGGAGTGGCGACGGCCGAGGTGGTCAACGCCGACGGGCTGGATGTTGGTGGTTGCCCACTGCTGTTTCTTTGTTGGGTCCATAAGCTCAACCTCAGCCTCGCGGCCAGCACCAGCGACGTGCTCGCTGAAGCGGCGGGTCAGGGCGAACTTTGGGCTGCTGAGGTTGCGCTCGCCATCGTCGGCAAGCTCGTCGATAGCGAACTCACCGATGGAAACGGTGCGCACGCCTTGGGGCGTCTTCCGCTGAGATTGGGGGCGTGGCGACGATGAGGAAACCGCACGATTGCGGGCGCGTGCATTCTCCATGGCGGCTTGCTTGAGAAGGGCTTGCTTCTGCTCGCGCTCCCAGTAACCAGGCGGAAGTCGAACGCCGTGCTCAGAGCCGTTAGAGGATTCTACCTCGTCGACGTCGTCCTCACGGAGCTGGCCCAAGGCAACGGCTGCTTCACCGAGCAGGCTTGGCTTCGAAGGGCGGTGTCGTAGTGACGTGCGTAGACGCGATGCCAGCTGCGCAGCGGGGTTCTCGACGTCACCTTGACCTACACTATAGGACTGGGACCGAACCGACTTGCGCACCGGGTAGTTCTGATCAAGCAGGAAGGAGATGCCGTCTTGACCTTCGACGGTGGTTGGCGAGGGCAGAGCTTTGTCACCAGGCGGGTGCGCCGATGTGGGGGAAGGTGCAATCTCCTTCAAACGGCTAGCGGTTGGATTGGCTGAAAAGCTTGACGTGTTCCAGGGGAAGGAGGCCGCAGAGGTGCGAGGCTGTTGCGGTTGCTCCACTGACGGCGTAGTTGGCTGCGAGCCCGCAAACGACACAGAGGGGAGAGAGAATTTCCGGTTAGGTTGGATATCTTGCAGCCAACCAGAAGACGGCCGGCGTCCGCCGGGGTAGAGATTACTCGGGAGCGGACGCGCGGGTTGGGGCACGTGGTCGCGGTCGTCGTCACTGGATGCCAAGACATCGCTATCTGGGGTCGGACGGCGCATCTGCATCTTGTTCTTGTCGAAGGCTGGCCCGCCAACCGCAAGGCTGCTCTTGTAGGGATTGGAGCTCATCTTGTTGATCTAGTCTTGACCCTGTTAGAGTAGGACGCGGACAAGAGCAGAGGGTGCTAGTGCATACCTTGCGATCTTAGACGATGTGTAGAGAATGAACTCCGTCTATAAACACAGCGTCTACACAGGCGAGATCTATGTCTCACACCGTGTATTTAATGGTAGCTGTGACAGAGAATGTGGAAAGATAGTAAAGGTAGATAGGTAGTATGTGGCGAGGAACTATATGTCTGTAAAGGCAAAGAGCCCTCCTGTTAGCATGGACAACTAAGGTGAGGTAATAGTGGGGTAATAGAAGAAAGTAGCGGCGTATAGAAATGAACAGAGCGAAGGCGGACAGGAAGTATGCCAGCCCGATGTGTGGTGCCAATGGCGGGCACGCATGAACAAGTCAGAGAGGGGCGGCGTGGGGAGGGGCGGTAAGGAGACTACGTAGAGCTGGGGCTTACCTAACTGTTGAAGACTCAGAAGGGCTTTCGGAGTCGAGAGCCGAATAGCTTCTGAAGGCAGTCGGTGTGTAGCAGGCGAACTGAAGCACACAGTTGGCAGGATGCTTGCTCACTCGCTGGCTATGATGGACAGCTGTGATGGAACTTCCGTCCCTGCTTGGTTGTGGGGTCTGTAGAGCTTGCGTTAACCGTTGACCTTGACCAATGATTACAGGCAGCGAGGGGAGGTACGACCGCGAATGGGGTGGTACGTCTGTCGGGGCTGAAGCGTATGACAGTGGAAGAGAGTTGGTGAGATGTGAAGGCGAAGGCGAAGGCGAGGGCGTGGTATGAGCTTGCCGTCATGGGGGTGCGGTGGAGTGGGGCGATGTGTGCTGCTAGACTCACCTGCAGTTGCCTCAAAGGCGCGTCTCTGCTTGGATGCCAGAAGACGGCGAGGTCGAAGGCCAGGCTAGATAGCTGAGGACCGGCGGCCGGTGATGCAGTTGCTCTGTACGAGCCCGCTCTGTTGCCAGAGGTGTCGTTTGGTCAAGGGAAGAGGCTGGGTCTGCAGTGGTGCAGCTGCTCTGTGACGCAGGCTGCAAAATAGACGCACACGCTTCTTCAAGCGACTGCTACCTCCAGGAGGCTGCAGCGAGTCTAAGCGAAGCCGCCTTCTTGACTGCTCGAGGTCTGAGGGTGTATTGAAGGAGAGAGGGTGCAGAAGAGGGAGAGGGTGGCGAGGAGATGTTGGTGGTGGGGAGGAGAAGGAGGAAGGAAGGAGGACGCTGGGAGGCGGGGTTCTTATAGAAGGGCCTGGCGGTGCGTGCGGAGGCGGTCAGCCGGGCAGCCGTTTGGCAGGCGGTGGCCGCGGAGAGTTCGTCGTCGGTGATGATAGAAGGAGCCAAGGCGGTCGGCACTATGGCTTTAGGAATTACTGTCGACCACGCGCCGTCTTAGCCAAAGCACATAGAAAGGACAGGATTGGAATGAAAGAAGCAGCTCCTCAAGACATTCGTATCGTCTGCAGCCGTTTCGTGGGAGGGAAGGCGTAGCTTGCTCTCTGAACTCCTTTACTCTCAAATCTGGCGCCGGCGCTCCCCCGTCGTGCTCCCAAGCCCCCCAACAACATACTCTTTCATACTGAAACGCCCATGCTGCAGAGCTTCCTAGGACCAGAGAGAGGCGCCAAACAATCGCAGGCAGCTCGCAGCCGTGCAGATCATTCGCGTCCTCGCCGTTCCCCAAGAGGGGCGCCCCGCGCTCTCCCACACCGATGCCCCCTCGCCCACACCACAAACCGCCGCACACTCAAGAGCAGGCCGACAGGCCTCAGGGAGACAGCGCAAGCAGAACGAGAAGGTAGAGAAGAGACGAAAGCGGGGACAAGGGGGAGGAGAAATGGCCTTGCTTACCTGAGTACAGGAAACGAATGCAATGCGCGCCGCGAATATCGTCACAGCCGAACCCTTCTATCGAGTTGCTAGCAATGAAACCTATCCAATATCATCAGCGCCTGTCCTCTATAACGTTCAGCGACTCCCACAAGCACGGGGTGTGAAGGGGCGCTTCGTCGAGACAGCGCCGACCAAGGCGCCGGGCGCAACGCGGAGTCGGACTCTTACTTACCAAGCCAGTCTATCTTCGCGGTATCCGTACTCTTTAGAAACAATTTTGGATCCCAGAAATAACTGACGCGGACAGTGAGCTTCGAGCAAGACGTGCGGAGCTTGATCGAACCGCTTCGGCGACAAGCATACCTAAACGCAAACCAGAAAGCGCCAAACTCTTTATCCAGTCTATCCCTAGTCTTTCAAATTGCGCAGAATCGTGGAGAAAACAGACGGTTTATACTAGGGCATCAGTCGTCGCATGGGATCATACAGGCCAGCGATCCGCGAAGGAAGCTCCAGACAAGAAAGAATGTGGGGAAACGCCACAGATTCCAGCTGAGGGCTGCCTCGGCGATCGCAAACCAGTCGTAGGCCTGGAGAACGCGCGCTTACTGAAGCGGGCACATCGTCGCTCTGCGCCCCGAGCGACAGAGGGATACAGTATGGGCGGCGAAAGCAGAGGGCCACAAGAGACCGGATGGGGACAGCTGGCGTTGATCCTTGGCGGTGGTTCGACACTCTTCAAACGCGCAGAGAACACCAGCGGACGCAGAAGACACACTTCAGCTCCTGATGTCTCCAAGGAGGACCGAAGGCGGCGACAGCAGCGGAGCGGCCGGCTTTGGGACGATGACGAGGCAGGCGGAGGGCTCCCAGCTGCACAGGACGATGACCTCGAGGCAGGGCAATCATCACAGAGGTGTGGAGAGATCAGAACGCGCAGACTCCAACGCCTTTGAGGCTTCCTGCAGGCTCGCACGGCCAGGCCAAGGATCAGGGGCTTTGGGTGGCAGATGCGCAAAATGCGGAGACGGCCAGGCCAACGCAGGCTAGCCCTGCACAATTTAGGGACGAACTGCTGCAAATTGTCTGCTGCCGTTCGGGGGTAGCGAGACCACGGTCCACGGCCGCTGTCAGCAAATCATCGTCGCCCATCATGCGCATCGCAACATCCTTCGACCTCGTCGCTCTCTCCACCTCATCAAAGATCCGTCGTGGGACTCTCTCTAGCGGCGGGAGCTGGGATGCGGTCTGCTCTAACAGCTTCGAGTTCTTCAGGAGACCCCTCATCTTTCCGTCTGGACTCGGTTAAGCCCGTCGGCCCCAATTTTCTCCTCTTTCAATGGCTTTGATGCTTTCTGCACGCCATTCTGCTTCGCTTCAAGCGCCATCGATGAGATCCCGGCCGGCCTACGCCTTGACAACGAAGCCATTCAGAGGAGCCCCGTACTCGAAGCGGACAAAGGCAGTCACGCGCCCCTGTGGGATCACACCAGATCTCTAGCCCCCTAGCTGCTTGATGCTGCGTGGCTGCGCGGCAAAGGTCCTGTTCTGTGCAGCTCATGAAAGTCTTGTCATTCGCCATGCTGCTTGCGATGCGTTTGGCAGTCTTCGATTGAGCAGCTGTTCCTGGAGCTAGCATGAACGCTGCTGCATTATGCGCGCTCGAAAAAGGCTGCGGGGAGCTCAGCGCTCTCCTCCAGGGCTTGATGCGGCCACACGCATGTGCACGACATGTACGCGCTTCTCGGTTCTTGCAGCTAGGAAGATTGCTCGTCGACCCCGCATTTTCCTGCAGAACTCTAGGTCGATTTGGCCGCCCAAGCTTTTCGGGGAACACCAGCCAAGTACCCATTCGGGCGGCAGCAAGCAGACCCTGGATCACCCTTGCGATGTATTTTATGCGTTTCTCCTTGGTGGGAAGGGAATGGCGGACGTATGTGGGCCGCGCTTCGGTCCTTTGAAAAGCGTCTCCGAAAGGGGTCATCAATGTCCATGCCGGCGTTCGCATAGAGAGTTTGCCTTGCGAGTCGTCCTCGAGTTGCCGTCGCCGCTTATGATTCCAATTGCATTCTCGAGGATGGCATTTCAGGACTCGATCGACGATTCGGCCCGATAGGCGGCATGTTCGGCAGCGGCACGGAGACCCAACATTCTGCGCCGTTCTCCTGCCTTGGCTATTCGGAAGGCAATACGCCCCGAATATCCATCGAGGGCTTCAAGAGCACCGCTGCGACATCCACTGCGAGGCCAGAGGGGGCCTTGCGCTTCCCTCTTCAGTCGGTATGCCCATTTTTGGTCGCGCTCTCAGCCGAGCTGCCTCCCCTTGGCTCCGCGAGCGATATGCTGGCCTGGCGAATAGGACTGGCGTGTCCGCCTGCAGGAGTCGGATCGTTTAACCATAGAGCTGAAGAGCTTGGACGCGTCAAGGGGTAGGTGCTGGGCCTCACGGTTCAACGGTTCGGTGGCTAAATCCGTCCCGGCCGGCGATGCGCTGTGCGTTAAGTCCTCCGCGACTAAGGCTGCGATACTCACCTCTTATTCTGGTGGCGACGGCTGGCGTGCCAGCTGCATAAGAATGGGGTCGGTGCGGAGGTGCGGCGGATGGTTGGGTGTGGTGGTGGTGAGGAGGGCTCCTGCTGCGCTGTTGCGCCGAAGACCAGCCCAAGGACAGCGAAATGCCTCGACTACCCAAAGCACAGAGGACAGAAGCATGCCAATAAGAACGTCTGGGGTAGGTGATGCTCTCAGGGGGCTGCTTCTTGTCTATTCTACAAGGAAGGTACTTTGCATAGTAAGAGAGGGAGCTTAGGCAGGCACTACCCTCTCTTTAGGCCCTGCAAGCTTGCATTTACATTCACCTTTGTCAACGGGCTTGCTATGCGGCGATCCTCCATCACCTGTACCCTGCGCGTGAAGCCCACGCGCGCCGTTTCCTTCTCCTCGCCCCTCTCCCCTTCTCCACTTCTCTAGCGGCTGCTCCGCAGTCTCCTCCCCCCCTCCTTAGCTGTCTTGCACATCGCCCAAGGCCGTTTCGAGGAAAGAGCCACCGTCACCACCCACGAAACGACATTGCCGGGCCAGAAACCCACGCCGCTCTTCTGGGCTCTCTCGCGGCACCGGGCCGACAGCAGCCTCCTCTCTGCTCCACCTCCGCTTCCCCTCGCAAGCATGCAGCGGCGTAACCCCTCTGTTCTTCCGGCTTCCGCCCTCGTTTCCATCCACCGCGCACTCGAGACCGCCCGCACTACTTCCCCTACCTGCACCGGCAGCATCGGCGGTGCATCAACCACCGCACGGCAGTAAAGTATAGCGAATATTGAACGGACGCTCCGTTTCGCCCTCCTCAGACGCCCTCGGGAGCCAATGACAGTGACAGCGACATGATGGAAACAAGCAAGAAGAGCAACCTTCTCAGCTTGGGATAACTACCCCCGCCCCCATTAGCATGTCCCTTTGCCATGGGGCCGCACTGATAACATGCAGGGAAAGGGAAACATACGGCCGCTCAAACCTTGCAGCCTCCGCTACACCCACTGTCACGGATCCATTGAAGCCGACATCTTCTTCTCGAGGGGAACAAACGACTCGATCGTCTGTGAGACGCGGCGGCCTCGACAGCAGCGCCCATGCCGGCAAAATAAATAAGGGAAGCCGCAAAGTCGAGTAGCGGAACATTAGCAGGTCTCCTTACCGCAGAAATCACAGAACCTTCGATAGCAGAGGAGATCTATGGCCTTACTATCGGCCTCGAATGCACAATGGTCCGTCAGGGCACGAGAAGGTAGGATTGTGATCGCATGATGTTCACATGGCGAAGCCCCAAGGGCTATGCACTGTGGCGAAGGTGAGGCGACAGCTTCTCGAGCGGATCAGTGTCGAAAACACTCCGCAAAGGATAGGCCATCTCGGCGGTGACTCGACAGTCGCTTACACCTCTCCCGCTCAACCTATCTCAGCCCGTCTCTTCGTGGCGGCACTAGTACCGATCACAGCGCGACCCAGCTCACTCCCAAGTACGAAAAGTCGAAAAACTTCCCCATAGACAGTCTAGCAGACTAAGGGGCGCTTCACACTCGGGGCAAAGAGCCTCTAAGGCTACTCTGCGTTACGCTTGGAGTTATCAGGCGAGTCTTCTGATGGATTACTACCGTCAAGACTTACCCATCTTCAATCTAGATTCACAAGATTCCTACTTACCGAACGACTACGCACCACATACATATACGGATCCGACTATGCGACACCCTCCCGAAGCCGTCTCAGTGGCATTGGAGGGTGCGCGCACTGCTCAGCAGCATGTCGGAGAGCAACTTGCTGAGAATCCTCCTGCCCACGGGCAGTGGCGGGCTCGAGGCATCCCACCTTCAAAAGTCGCTTAGACTCAGACTCCTGTCTCTGCAATACAGATACGGGTGGGACATTCCTTCACAAATTGGAGATGGTCAGGGCTGTCGGGGCTGTCGGGGCTGTCTCGAGTAACAGGCTTCATGATGTTGTGCACATCCTCTCTACCAGTCCTATCTTGATCAATCCGAACTGAATTCGAGTTGCATACCGTTGTCCAACGACACACCCATAGCAATTCCGCGTTTAAAGCTTGCGTGGTATTCTTCGTTGCTCAGCAGCGCCTGAGCAGAGTAAGCCCAGCGCCTCCGCCATATCGCTTCGGCCAGCACCGTCCCCTTGCGGCAGTCGAATGCCCGATAAGACAGACATGCTGTTCATCACAAGCAGGGCCGCTCAGTGCAGTGGCGATGGTGAAAATCCGGGGTGCGTCCTCGAGGCTTGACGAGTCACACACAATTCGTCGAGTCCGCCCATGCCAGCGAGGCAGCCCGGATGGAATCATCATTCTAGATTTATGCGAGAGTCATCCGACCACCGTCCACTTGGGTATAGAAGTGTGATGGGCGAGCAGCTGCGTTGCTGCGCCGATGGCAAGCGATCCCTGCCTGATGATCCGATGCATCACCAGCCCGGTTCAGCCCGGTTGCCGAATCAACCGCGGCCTGCCACAGTAACGCCACCGGCCAATCACGCCGCAGCAAGCGCTCTGGAGAGAAACATATTGATCTCTCGTCGCTCGGCCATCAGCTCGCTACGTCTTGCAGATTGTCTCTTCAGCAGCTTCAATTCTGCCGAAACCACCGTCGCTGAACCGTCGCTGAACCGTCACCCACACAAAGAAGGAGAGCCCGTTGACAGCTGGCGCGCAGGTACAGTACGTCTCGTTTGCAGTGTCGGCGCTTCGCTGGGCCCTGGCCCCTGGGCCCTGGGGCGCGCGTGCGTCATAGCCACTCGTTCGCATGCGATGACGCCGATGCGAAGCCGCACCTGCCGCTGACTTGTTGTGCACAGCAATCTCCATCTTCGCCGCACGTCCTCCCAGCTTCTCCAGCTTCTACAACTTCAACAACTTCTACAAGCTCTCTCCATTTCACATTTTCACATCTTCGCATCCGTATCTGCGTTGTTGGCGCTCTGACGCTTTGATAGCTCCGCCTTTGTCGAAGAGATCGAACCACTCACATCCCCATCCCCATCCCCATCCCCACCACACCGTCCTCCACCGCACAACGCCAACATGGTGTCCCGCGTCCTGAATCTCGGCCTTCGTGGCTTCGAGGTATGCATTCATGTCTTCAACAGTGTGCGTCTGCTGCTAACGGCACGCAGTTCTTCTGCGCTCTGATTGTCATGGCCCTGGTAGGCAACATGATCGCAACCGCATACGCCGGAAACTCAGCAATGGTCAACTACGACATGTTCGTCTCCGTCTTCGGCATGCTGTCATTACTCTACCTCTTGCCCACCACCTTCCTGGATTCGTACAGCGTGCCCATCGTCAACATCGCGCTCGACGTCCTCAACGTCCTCTTCTGGTTCTGTGGTGCGGTAGCCACTGCCGCCTACCTGCATGTGCACAGCTGCAGCAATAGCGTGCGTGTTTCCTCCCATACATCCTCCGCTTATGGGGACAAGAGCTGACCAGATGCAGGCCTACACCCACAGCAATCACATCACAAACGGCTCCCCCAACACCGAGAAGCGCTGCCGCGAAGCCCAGGCCTCAACCGCCTTCCTCTGGTTTGGGTGGGCAGCATTCACCGCCTCCATGCTTTTCTCCCTCATGTCTGGTCGCGGCAGTGCCAACCTGCGCGGCGGGATCCGTCGGCCTGCGATGAGCCAGGTCTAGGAGCCTTGGTTTGCCTCGGTCTCCTCGCGGGAGGCATCGTGGAATACGCGAACGGACATCGATGCGTAGTCTCAAGCGGACCACGGCGGCTCGGAATGAAACGATCTCGGTGACAAAGGATACGCAGGACTGCTACTGGCTAGCTATAGGATACCTGATATGTTATGTATCGATGGATGTGTATGATCAGATGAAAGGAATGGGCAAATGTCATCCTGCCCAGAAGCAATGATGCTGGACCGGTTTGGGACATCGGGTCTTGGGGGAAATACCAATGTACATGGGATGGAATGGTCTCGGCGTTCACGTTCATTGCTTTAAGCAGCAATAGCAGTAATATATCTTGATCTCGAATAATGAAAAGCATATGCTCCCGATGTGATAACAGCCTCTCTCGACATAAACGCCGCGTGCAGTAGTGGTAGAGCTAGTTCGCTTACTAAGTACCCCCATGTGAGCTAGCACCAATCTCAACCGTTATTCGTCTCGCAAGCCTCCCAGCTTCACTCTGAAATCCCCTCGCTCCCTGAAGCCTCTTGCGCGCCACCGCGGCTGCGGTGAGAGCCTCCGTGTCTTCCCAAGAATCCCAAGAGTCGTCTTAACTTTCGCATCCAATACTTCTCTCCCAGATTCCAAAGGCGGAATCCAATTATCCTCGTCATGTTTCTTTGGCTGCCCTGTGGCTCGACGTCGACCGGCGGCTCCCTCAACGAACAGACCAACGGATGCCCACCAGCTCGCCTCGCTCTTTGATTTCGTACGGGGACATTATTCGATGGAACCCATCAAGTACCAGATGCGCGGGCATGCACGCCTTTCCTCCCAACGGCATTGCTCCCAAATGCAGTATGACTACTCAGGAAATCATTTCCGCATGGAAGACTTCCCAAAATTTCTATGCCACGGCCAGGTCACTCTTGTGTCAATACACCTCGGCCCACGCTTTCTTTCCCCTACGTCCAATGTTTCTCTATCCTAGCCGGCCCTGTTGATTCGCCCCCAGTCTCCGAGATGACCACTCCCAAGGACATTCAATAGTCAGATCCGCCCCAAAGTAGGACATCCAGCCTTTGTTGGCGTCCCGGAACGAGCGTATCCAAGGGGGATCCGGGGCCGCAGTTCGTCTATCGCTCAACATATTGTTCGCTTTATGCAGCTATATAAGTACTTGACATAGGTGCTCCTTTGCTATCAGCTCCAGATCATCAATTCCTCAGCTATCGTCGACCGCTCCCCCCCCTCCGTGCTCCGTTCACCTTGGTAGAACGCATTATCATTTCGAAATGGGTATTTTCATGGCTCACCCAACCTGGCACGAAAATTCGAGTAACCGGCCATTTGTGACTCATTATCATGACAGGCGGGGTACTGGGCGGTCAATAGATGTCTACGGGAGGGACTTCCAGGTTAGCCAGGTCAGTGGACACGATGGGCTGTTGCTCTTTGCAGTGGTACTGAGGAGGTATCTAGGTGGCTTCCCTAGACGAATGCGCAGCAACGTGCACGAACACGACCGGTTGCGTAGGCTCTCACTTCGACGGAAAGAGCTGTTATATGGCTGGAGCGCTTCCACCCAATAGCAAGTACGTCCATGGCTGCTTCCCAACCACAAGGCCAAACCGTGCTAACGTATGCCACAGTACCAGTGTCGATGAGGTGATTCGCACTCTGGGCATCGCACCACTGCCTACCCTATGGTCCTGTGGCGACAACCTGGACACTTATTGCACCTCCGGCGGCCACGAAGCGAACACCGGCTGCGTTACCCCAGACAACTTCACGATCCGTTGCTCAAGTAGCTTCCTCGGCAACGATATGGCTGATGGCGTACATACCAAGGTACAGTTCTCGGTTTGCTTGGAGATGTGCCATGCCAGGAAGGGCTGTATAGCTGTTTCATTCAAGCCCGAGAATGCGACGTCTGTGGGGAGCTGCTATCTGAAGGACTCTCTTCATCTCGGGTTCGAGACTGCGGATGTCATGGGTAAGTCCCTCTGAATTTGACTTGCATATTTTGCGTGTTTGCTGACTCTGGTTTCCCATCACAGGTGCCTACCTGTCCACTGGCAGTTCTGGCCAGCTTATCGCGGACTGAAATGTGCCGTTTCTCCAGACCACGCCAGCGGCTTCGGCAAGGCGTGATCCGGCACACACCGTCTTGACATGCAACTTTGCTTGGAGCTTATATTGACCAGGCGTGTTCCAGTAGGCAGGTGGAGATGATATGGGCTCGGCATGCATCTTGTTCGCGATCGTTTTGATTCTATTCGTTAGTAGAGAGAGCGAGAGAGAGAGAGAGAGAGAAGTGGGAAGACTAAAACGGCGCAGGGAGTGTCAGGAGTCTTTGTACATCTCTTACACGCCGACTCTCTACGCAGTCCTTTAGTGTCTTAGGTACCCTTGCGTTTCTGCTATTTAGTTGTTCCCCCGGGCATCCGACCCACTTCGGCGGGGAGACCTCTTTTTCCCGCACCCACAGACCCACACATCTAGATGCTAAAATGCCATCACCTCCACCGCAGAGTCCTAAAATCCAAAAGCGGCTTCTAGTATGGGGCACGTGGACCTTGTTTGCGAATCTCGAACGAGAGCTCCAAAAGAGGGAAGAAGAGGCATGACATTGTCACGGAGCGACCCTGTGAGCATAGAGTAGCAAGGTGGCATGCGAAAGGTGGCGCTCTCAGTTTTCAGGAGGAAAAGGAAATTCGCGAAGGAACAGTGATGATTACTACCACCACACAGCCATGGCAAACTCGCTCGGGGCCGGATTCTTCTCACGCTCCTGCAAGCTCTTCTCATCGCACTCCGTCTCGTCCGTGGGCTTATGTGTCAAACCCCTTCCTTCGTAACGGAGACTCTCCGCGTACGAACTGTCTTCTTCTGCGACATCTAGACGGCTTCTGACTACCAATACAAGGCCTAGAAATACGAACTACGTCGCCCACAATGCTGTAGCAAAACGGCCCTTCAGATAAAAAATTAAACCCCCCCCCAACCAAAAAAATAAAATAAAAAATTCCATCCACGTTATGGGTGCATCGCCGTGTCTGAAGGGCTAACAATGCTGGGGGAATGGGCTTTGCATTACCTGCGCCGCGCAGAGGGAGGTACCGCGGGAACCTCATAATGATGGAGATCGCGACTATGAAACTGGGGCTACAACGTACCATAGTCTCGTTTCGTCGACCTAGCCTTCTCATGCGCCAGTCTTCGAGAATTTAAATTGCAGCCGCAGCTTCCCGAGGTCAACACTACATGTTGCTCGTATACGCGGTCAGGAGCTCCTACTTCCAACCCTGCGGCCATGCCCATGATTCTGGGTGCTTCTTCCCTTTTTGAGACAGCCTGGGTATCATGCGTCTTTAGAAGCGACTCTGGAGACCCGGACTCCCATGCGGAAGTAGTACGCGTGTTTGGGTCCAAACACGCGAACCATTCGGTCTTCGAGCTGTCGCTTTTAGACACGATGAGGCAAGGTGCGCAAGGGGTGGAGTTCTCCCATGCGGGGCGAAGAGGAGTTCTTATATCGGTCCACGACGATGGGTGCAGTGTTGAACATGGACCTGCCGGAGGAGTTGGCATCGGGTCACGTGGGACCTCGAGCTCAACGGTCCCTGGACTTCCAGTGAGAGAGATACACTTCTCACCTGTAGCCTTTCTCACGGTAGATATAAATACTTTACTGTTCTCCTGTCTTTCTTCGCCATACCTCTCCTCGATTCCTCCTCGGAGCTAATAAGCATGTATGGACTTGCTCTAAAACCGTCGCCCAAAGCACTCAATGCCGGGCACGAAAAGAGCACTCATTGTCTGCATGCCGTGTGCCTGAGAGCGTCGTATTGGCTGCCGAGCTGGACTTAGAAGCTGCAGCGGCGATATGCAGCGGCGATAATCATGGGGAGCACAATACGGCCCTGGAGATGTGATGGCGGGATCGAGGTGTTTGAAGTCTATGGCGCATGGCTGGCGGTGGGTGATGATGCCGCGTATCATCACGACGAGGGTTGCGGATAGTAAGATAGATAGCGGGAAGTTGGCAGTGAGCTCGGAGTCGGCAGCGGGATGCCAGACACATCGTTTAGCTAGTTCGACTTGTGGAAAAACGTACTGAAAACGAGAACATCAAACCAATAGGCCTGAAGACTCCCGTTTCCAGCTATGGAGGGTGAACTATGCTTCGCTACTGGTGACCCACCCCAATGAAGTAAAAAGGAGCAAAAACATACAACAGTGGGTATTCGCTAGTGGTCTCCCATCTAGCTACTAATCCACCGGTCGAAGGCTTAACTTGCGGAGAGCGAACGGGGTCCTGTGCTTTTTTTCGCCTTTGGTCGTATGTGCTAGGTTGGAGGCGTAGGCGAGTATGTATAGGGGGTGTCCGCGCCGAATGAGAAGCCATAGCTCGACGCACGGGAGGCCGAAGGCGTATTCGATCGACGGCCTTCCGATTGCGGGGAGGGAAACCTGGGGTTAGTGGGCTTGGGTACTTCTCGTGTCCGTTTCCCCGGCCATTGACCCGCGGGCGGATATAGGTGCACGTGATATGCCCTTTGTTGAGAAAAGATGTGAGCTAGTCCCCCCGCAAGCATCTTCAATTGGGACCACGTATCCACGATGAGCATGGGAGTCGGTTATAGAATGGCAAATTGCTCGAATAAGGATCCTTTTGCTTACCGCTATCTCGTTCCTCATCAGACCATGGGCTGATGCTGGAAATTCTCCGATGGGGTGTACTGCGGAAAGAAGCGGAAACAGTTCCGAATCGACCGATTGGAGGAGACTTCCAGAAACATTCTTTGACTAGAACGAGGAAGTGAGTCGCTTGCTCGGCGGGCGATGTGACATTGAGCCTCTCAGAGCTGTGCTCGCTCCATCCCCCCTGTCTTCTCCATACGCCGCAGCCGCGGGAGGTGGAGAAACTCGAGACAGCATCGTCGGCAGATGCGATGATCCCTGAATTTAAAGAATTCCAAGCGTTTCCAAGACCGGCCAGACATGATGAAGACACGGATTGAAACAAAATAAGTGCAATGTGAAGCTTTCAAAGAGCTTGACAAGCGGCCGGGAAGAAAGCAGCATTGCTCCGGAGTTCCAAGACGGTGTACTACTCTCCGGCCACTACCAGGCGCTCGGCATGTTTCGCAGCGACGGCGCCCAGGGCATTCTGCTCGAATGGCATATCTCCGATCGGATAGCGATCTCTTTACATCCCTTGCTCTTCCATCTACGGCTCGAAAAGCGCGCTGTGGGAAGACGCTCTTACGATAATTGCTTGCTTTTTCCCGCTCTTGTGCGCGCCGGCTTTTCGTTCAACAAGGCAAATGTACCCGGCTCGGGTTGCATGCAGAAACATGGCCAGCCATCGATGCCTCAGATGTATATAATACGGGTAGGTGATGCAACAGCGAGGGTTTAGCATTGCACACCCGCCTCGTGCCCTGGCCATCTTCGCGAAGCTCGACCCTCGTCAGCCGGATAAGAGGGGCATTCCTCACCGTACTTTTGACATCTGTAGCCTTCTCTTTCCTTTTTGCTTCTGGCGCTTGCGACTGCTGGGAACCATTGATAGGAATCAATTTTTTAGAAAAGAAAGGAGTATAGAAGGTTGAGTGCTGGACACGGAAACGCATAGACCTTACCTACTGTGTACAGTTCTCGACATGAGCACCTTCGCTGGTAAGTCCCTTACCCACGCCGCTGCCCTCGAGCAACAACCTTCAACCGCAGAAAACATGTCCGGATGATGCGCAGTCGAAACTTGCGGCGGCGATCCAAGGCCTCGCAATCGCTAAGAAAGCCGTTTCGCCCATCTTATACCACTGCTCGGCCCGCTGCCGCCGCTCCAGCAAATCCCCACCGCAACCCAAACCGCAGCCAAGGCGGTGATCCAGGGATGAACCTTCTGCTAACGCAAACCTCACCTGATGTCTAGACCCCATCGACCGCATCGTCGCCGGCAACCGCGTCTACGCCCAGACCACGGCCGAGCGAGATCCGAATGCCTTCGAGGAGCTTAGCAAAGGCCAGGCGCCCGAGATCCTGTGGATAGGCTGCGCCGACAGCCGCATCCCCGAGACGACCGTCTGCCACTGCAAGCCCGGCGAGCTGTTCGTGCACCGCAACATCGCGAACTGCGTCCACGCCGACGACATCAATGCCGCGTCCGTGGTCGAGTATGCCGTCGCGCACCTGAAGGTCAAAAAGGTCGTCGTGGCCGGGCACACCAAGTGCGGCGGCGCCAACGCAGCGCTCAGCGACGCCGATCTGGGGACCACGCTGAACACTTGGCTGCACCCCGTGCGAGAGTACGTTTGACATACATAAATACATGCATGGTCTGCAGGAGTGGAGCTAAAACGGCGGCCTAGGCTGCGCCGAAAGCACAGGGCCGAGCTGGAGAAGCTGCCCAACGACGATGCGCGCGCCGTCCGCGTCGCAGAGCTCAACGTCCACCAGTCCATCGACGTGCTCAAGCAGCATCCCGCCGTCAAGCGCGCCGTCGCCGAGCGCGGCCTCTCGCTTCACGGCATGATCTACGACATCGGCGCCGGTCAGTTGAGGCTGCTCGAGGAAGCGGGTGGGAAGAAGGGCAACGGGCTGTGGAGTCCCGCCAACAAGTAGAGAGCGCTCGAGCAGGGTCAAGACATAGAATGGAGGGGTCGTTATTTGGATACTGTCGGTTTAGCGCAGGTGTTGGCTGGAGTCCATGAGGTGACTGCCCGCCGCTTGACTCACACAGGCGGACGGCCGCGGCTTTAGAATTTGCGATGCATCACGAGTCGACGCGGAACACGAGCGCCCAAGAAGAAAATAGCAATTTTGGTGTCTCCATGTGCTCTGATTTACCTGGCGAGAATGACGTAGCGTGGTTCTAGATGGCAGTCCGGAGTTAGCGGCTGCTGGCTGAGGAATGCAGACCCTTTGCGGTCCGACGCGGAGAAGAGTCGGGTCTCGGCCTCAGGCTGAGGAGTCACAACGACATGCCATATAAGCCAGCTGGCGTCTCGTGGGTCCTTCTCTTCCCCATTTCTCTCTGTCGAAACTTTGATTCAAGGCAGCCCCCCGTCGGTGTGCTCCAGCATTTACATCAGACATCGCGCGTACCAAGACCAGCTACAAGTCCAGAACCATCAGCACCTTTCCCAACCTCCACGCCCAAACCACTCCAACCACGATTAGACGGCCTTCCTACCCCTCACATCCGAGCCCGCACCGCCTGTCCATCCCCCCACAATCCAAATGGCGTCTCAGCTCCAATGTCTCCGCCAGGAAGAGGCCCCACAGTCTCCCTCCTCCGGCACCCGGAAATTCTTCCTAGGCGGCACCGAGCCCAAAGGGAAATTCAAAGTCTTGACGCCTTTGCTCGTGCCCCTTCCCCTTACCGGCGAAGCCGAGCGACCGGCAACGCAGGCGGTGCACTGAGGCTGGCTCTCTCGTCGACTCCAATGTGCTTTCTTCCCTTTCAACGATTACAGCGGGTTGAATTCCACTACAACGCCCGACGGCAATAGAATACGATGAGGAAAAGGCGCTGTTGAAGCTAATGCGATTGCTTCCACCAGGATGTCGTGTCGGAATCGACTTAATGGGCGGGCTATGATTGGGTGAGGAATAATGGGGTTCGGCACGACGGCGTACAGGCGCTCTCAGGAGTGGACTTCGGAAGCTTGCCGAATTCACCACCCGAAAAGAGTTGGTTGTTGCTGGGAGTAGACGGAGGCTAGCTAGATAGTTCTCCACAATTTTTCAGGAATGTAATGCTGAAGTATATCATTACCATGCCCCCAGCCGGCGTCGCCTACCCACGTACCGTGCCGTATATAAGCGCAAGAGGGTGGTAGAGGACGAGAGGACGTCGGTGCCATCAAGGAGATGCACACCAGGGCTGAGCGGTGGGCGTACCCGCTTGAGCATAAGATAGGCCGGCAGGAGAGTTGGGGAAGCGGGCTAAGTGGCCCCCACGATGAATTTGCGAAACCTCAATAGATGGACACTTCATTCCATCGCTTCGATGCAAGATGGCGCTAAGACGCTATAACCCCCAAATATCAGACATGTTCGACCGTAAACATGCCGTGACCCACCCACCCATTGACTAAAGAACCGCCTGTTCTAGCCCAGTCCCCGGAAGCTTTTGATGCAACAACCCATGCTGAGAGTTGAGAAAACAAAACTCCTTAAAGACACCAAGCGCTGAGGCAGGGTGATGAAAAGGTGCAGATGCAAAATATACAAGAAGATGCAAGGTGATTAAAAGGTCTAGGTGATCATGACAAACAAGCCGTCCGGAAGTTGGGCATATGTAAAGCACCATTTACATAATGATGGCAGGACCTGAACCACGTTAGCTGATTATGGAATAAGATGGAGTCACGATAAGCTTACTGTCGATGTTCGACTTGATGGACTTGTGGGGCAAGATGGAACCACCGTTCACGTACACCTCGTCGCCAATGGACACGTCGTCGCCCAAGACGGTCACATTCTCCAACCGGGCCCATTTGCCCACGGTGCTGTTCCAGCCTACTATAGTTGACTTGATCCAAGCATGGTCCTTGACCCGGCTATTCTTGAGCAGGACACATCGCTGAAGCCTGACGCCGTCGCCAATAACCACGTTCGGCCCAATGGTTACGTTGGGTCCAATCCGGCAGCCTTTGCCAATCTTAGCAGTAGGGTCGACCAGCACATTGCCTCCGTGGACGTAAGACTGCGAGGCCGGTGTCAGTAGCTTCGAGTTCTTGCGGGTCAATGACGATAGGTAGAGACAGGTTCCAGAGAGGAAGTCCTTGGGTTGTCCCACGTCCATCCAAAAGCCCTCGAGATCGAATGAATGCAGCTGGCCGTCCTTGCAGATGGCGGGGAAGGTCTCCTGCTCGATCGACGTAGGCCGGAGCTCAATGCGCTTGAGTACGGTAGGATTGAGGAGGTAGATACCGGCATTAATGCGGTTGCCGACGAACTCCACGGGCTTCTCGACGAAGCGGTCTATCCTGGAGGGGTGGTTGGGCTTGTGCACCACGACACCGTACTTGGACGGCTCCTCCACCTTGGTGACCACAATTGTGCCCTCGTCGCCATGCTGCTTGTGGAATTCGACAAGCTTCTTGAAGGGGTATTCGCAGGTGACGTCCGAGTTGAGGACGAAGAAGGGGGAGTCGTCCTTGCCTAGGATGGCCTCGGCAAGCTTGAGCGGGCCCGCTGTGCCGAGGGGCTCGGTCTCGACGGAGAACTCGATGTTGACGTTGTACTGCTTCTCATACTGCAGGCATCCGGTTATTCATGTGATGCACAGTGCAATTGGTGCGGGTATACTGACAGTCTTCAGAGCCTCGGTCATGATCTCGGGCCTGTAGTTGACGGCCAGCACAATGTCGGTGACACCTGCGGCGGCCAGGGCCTCGATCTGGTGCTGGATCATCGGCTTGTTCGCGAACTCGACGAGCGGCTTCGGGTAGGTGAGGGTCTGCATGGGGCATTAGTTGCGGCATTCTGCAGCTTCGTGGGGGTTGGCTCGGGGGGCAGGGAGCGGTGAGCGCAAGGGCGACGTACGAGAGGCCGCAAACGGGTTCCAAAGCCTCCGACGAGAATGATTGCTGTGTCTCTGTCAGTCGGATGCGACGCAGGCGCAATTGCTCGCACTGACCTTTCATGGTTGCGGTGGTGATGTTCGAATTGGTTGTGGGCGAGAGAAATTCCTGGGCAGGTCGAAGACAGCGAGGGGGTCTTCAAGGCACTGCAAGCGAGCGGAGATGGGAGTGAGCGTGACGTCGGCAGCGGCCACGAGACAGTAGGCGGTGGGAAGTGAATGTGCAGGCAAAGTCAAAGAGCGAGAGCGGGCGCGGTGAGGCCACCTAGTTATTATAAGGGAGCACCGTTGGTGGTGCCGCTCGGAGCTCCCTAGCTTCCCTGTGGAGCGCGCAACGCCAGGCCAAGCCCCCAATAATTCCCCTTTCTCGCACCCAGCATTGCCATTCCCCTTCTCAGCCCCTGGCGACTGTCCATCACGGCCGCATAGAACCTTCAGCTTACTGTTCTAATTTGGTCGCTTTCGCCGCTTGGCTGGAGTTACATCGTATTGTACGTTCAGCGGCAGCGGTCCCATTGGCCGCAGCCCGTCACGCGCTGCTACTTTGCTATTTCGCTGGTACAAGCGTCTCTCCCTCGCGATTCGAAGTTACCGCCCTGCAGGCCCTGCAGCGAGATTAGCGGCGTCGAGAACAGAGTCTTCCCGTCACGGCGCGGCGGAGGAACCGTCACCTGACGCGCGAGCTGTGGCTGGCTGTGGCTGACTGTGGCTGACTGTGGCTGACTACGGCGCTATTCGACGACGCCTGAGATGCATTTCGTAAAAAGACGGGCTCCCGATTTTGCTTCTTTCAGCGCGCCTCTCGCACATGACCGTCGTCCAAGTCCATCTGCCTCGCGGCTTCACGATCCTCCGGGTCACGCACAGCTTGATTACGACGCGCGTCAGACGTGCGTGGCAATTCAACTTCCCACAGACCTTCACGGTGCGCTACTTGCCGTTTCACATGCGGCTCTTCATGTCCGTGTATGCCCTATCTCGACTACCCATATCGGCAATAACATCGAGTCCATCGAATACTGGGCGCTAACGCCTTCCGAACAGCGTGGATATGCGACGCAACGGGAGTCTCATCAGCCTGATGGTTCCTGAAGAGGTAATCCATAGGCGGTGCATCCCTGCCATGCACCGATCAGGCCCGCCGCTTCCATATAACTTCATCATCACCTGAGGCGTTTACCATACAAAGACGAACAGCCGTCACCAGATTGATTTTGCGGGGTTTTCTATTCTGAGCTCCAAGGCGAGCGTACTCCGCACTCCCAACCAAGTTCCTCAGCCCACGCTTGCCATCTTCGGGTATTCCAGCTGTCCCACAGCTCGTGCTCATGCTTCTGCTGACTTTCCTCGCCCTATGATCGACCTCCAGACACCAGCAACCTTCTTACCGCTTCTCAAACTTCTGCTGTCTCTTGCATTATCCGCGCCCTCAGATTCTTGCCTCTTCTGGTCGACCGGCCCTCCACTCGTACCTGATTCCTCTCTCTTGGCTGGGGCCTTCCCCTTCTCCGGAAACTGGTAGTCTTTGAACCATTCCCAACCGCCGTTGTCGTATCTCCAGAGATCCAGGCCAACTGCCCTTCCCTCGTGGACGTTATCGAAAAGGATTCGCCTGACCGTATCGAATGCCTGCTCGACCTTCTTTTGTTCGTCAACCTTATTCATCAACGTCCAATGAGGCTGCCATCCGCTGCTATCCTGGTCGCTGAGCCAGGGTAGCCACCGTCTCCTGAGCTGATCCCGTACCTTCTGCGACTCCTCCTCTCCCACGCCTAAACCGATTGCGATCCCTCGGCGCATATGAAGCGGTCTGCCAGTCGAGACGCTGAAAGGCCTTGTACATGATGACACCGAGTCCAGATCGGCGTCGATGATATCGATTCGCGAATGCGGAAGCGCATGGAACAGCGTAAGATGGACCGGCGTTCGATTCAAGTGTTTTGGGAAATACGCTTCTCGCATCTGCCCGAGCGGAATTGAGATGGAAGGCGTCAGACTAAGCGTGAGCCCATAGACGTGCTCCTCGTCCTGCTTGGTTTTGGCTTGTGCAGGGGCTGAGGGGACGGTGCATGTGGTTGGCCGGCAATGGCATTCTCTCCCGACATCTTGGAATGACCCTGAATACTGTGCGCCTTTGCGGATCGCGGACCTGAACGTTGGGTTGGAGAATGTAGACTGTCCGCCGCCGTGTAAAGAGCTATAAGTCGTTGCGAATTCTGATCTGGCGTACCAGCCGCAGCAGCATAGGATTTTGTAGTCGACATCGCGCGAGATGCAGGTAAGCGGATATACCTGGGGGTCTGCTGCAGTGCGACCCTCTTCATTATTTCAACTCATTCGTGCAGAGCTGCAGCTTCAGGGACCCGATGTTCCAGGGTTCCCGGAGTATCGACTACGTCACAGAAACAGCCCTTGCAGCAGCATTGTGGAGCCCTCAAAAATTCTCCGCGCCGGCTCCTAAGCGCTTCTTTTTGACATCCTGTTGGATGCGATTCGACGTTTTTAGCGGACTTTTACGGTCCCTGGGTTTGCGGTAATATGGCCACAAGCTGTCGACATGGTCTATTCCTTACCACTATTCGGTCTCTTCCATCCTCCTCCTCCTTACGAGGATGTCCATGGCCGGCTAGGGGGCATCCTGAGACGAGTACGTACTCCCCTCCTGGCTTCTATACAACGTAATCGCGGTTTGCACACTTCGTCTTATGTATACTTCCGACACTGCCATGCTGCATGAAGTTAATTTTCGGGCGTGATACCCTGTTGGTGCCCGGTATCATCCTCTCCGAGGACTTGCGGTGGTGGAAGAGAAAGTTCCTCTATCGCGCCTTCCGCACACTCTTCGTCCCACTCACGAGCTCGGATATGATGCAGCAACCTTGGTGACAATCCTAATCGATCATACTGACCGCGTCTTGGTGGTTGTTTCTCGTCTTTCTTCCTATTCTAGTCCGTCCTCCATGCCTCGAGCCCTGATTCTGGCTATATATTGGGACTCTCGTCTGAAAGACTTACTACATGACCTGCCGATAATTCCTTTGAAGGATGTGTTCTAGGTCGCCCCACGTCAGCAACAGACATGCTTCGCCAGTGTCCGGGAGGAATTGGAGATTCTGAGAGGTATTCGAGTAGGCAAAATTGACCCGAAAGTAAGCTCACAACCTCCACGACGGAATGCGGGATCCAGGGTACCCTGGATCCCGCAACTCGATCAAGGGTATACACGGTCACTAGCTCCCTTTGACATGGGCCCAACCTTTTCAGCTTCGGCGCACTTAGGCTTTGAGTATCAGAAGATATCGGACTACATCATCGCACTAAGGGGTATTCCAGTCAGCACTGTTCTGCAATCTCTCCCAAACGACATTGCACAATCAAGCAACGGTTCGTCATCTTCGACGTACAATTTCGTGCAGGATAACGGGCTCCGTCAACTGTTTCGAGACAGGGCGGGCTAGATCAGCCTAAGCTCCACGTCAACAGCGGGCAAGACCTGGGGTAGCCGCTGGATTACCGACTACGACAGCCATCTCAATGATTTCGCCGCCTTTATCAAACAGAGTCATCCTGACGCAGAACATTATCTCGGCACGGGCACGGATCGAGGAGACGTCGATAGATTCCGTGAAGCTGCAGAGGGAGTTCTTAAAGGATGACAGCTATTCCTTACTAATTGTGGCTAGTTTAGCCCTAGGCCGGAGGCATTGCGTCCCGGTGATATCATTTGTGTCCTTTTTGGAGCCGCAGTGCCATTTATGCTGCGACCTCAGGAGCATTACTTCCTTCTGGTTGGAGAATGCTATATCCATGAGCTGATGGATGGGCATGTCATCAGGTTGCGAAGGGGGGGGGGGGGGGTGAAGAGAAGTTCAAAGACCGAAAATTTGAGATACATTGACGCCATGCTATTAAATCGACTTCGTTTCTCCAAGTCAACCTTGTACTGTCGATGCTTCGGGATTTTCCGGTTACAGGGACAGCAAGATTTCTTGCCCTTCTTCCATGCGTAGTTTATTTTGGATTTAACGGTATTGTAACTTTAGAAATATATATGGCGCTAGAAAATGATTGCAGGTCAAGGAAGGTGAAGAGTGTCTACCAAAACTCTGTGATCCGCCTCGTGGTGCCGAATACCCACCAAAACAACTCCACTCAGGCTGCCATCCGCACTATACTAGTGTGTAATGCGTATTACTGGCACTTCCTACGAAACAAACCCCAAACTGCTGCCTGCCCTAACAAAGCAACGAAGCAGGACAGGATACCAAGGAAATCGCATGGGCACTTTTATAACATCGACTTTGCTCTCCCAAACTAGCATCTATTTCCACTCCACATTAACCACCGCGGCCGCCGCGCACCCCTCCGGCACGGAATACACCCTGTTACTCCCGCTCTCCCAAGTGACCGCCCCACTACTCTCCACCTTGATGAATTTGTATTCAAAGCTTGTACCCGACGCCAGGTCAATTGCGGTCGACCACACCGGATTTGCATCCGTGTACTGCGACGCTGACAGCGCCGGCGCAGCGCCAGTATCCCAATTGCCCAGCTCAGAAACCGAGCCCGCGATCTTGATCGTCTGGCCAACAACCGTTTTGACTTTTTCATTGAAGGCGACAGCGACTTTAGATACGGGAGTTGCACAGGATTGGGCTGTGCTGGTGGGGACCGCGGGTTGGGAGGAGGTAGTTGTGGGGTTTGAAGGGGTGGTGGTGCCCCCTGAGATAGCGATATCGGCGCAGGTGAGGTACACTTGGGGTGTTTGGAAGGAATTCCAGCGGAAGGAGAGGAGCGTGTGGTTGGAGACGTAGTTGGGGATCTTGATTTTCTTGGTCACTGTGTATCCGCCGGCGATGGAGGTGTAGCATGAGTTGAGCGGCGCATTGTCGATGCCCTGGCATTTGGTGTCCGAGAAGGCTTCGCAAGTAAACCAGTCATTGCGCCAGCAGGGTTGGCCTGATGTACAGTCGGGGCTGTAGTCGCATATTTGACCGCCCACATCCGTACAAGGGAGTGTGCCCGCCTCAAAGCAATACTCTGCGGCTTGCTTTTCAGCGTCGGTGGGGAGGTAGTTGGGGTCCAGGAACTTGTTGACCAGGTTTTGGTCCTGGCAGATGCGGTAGCTGAACATGCCTCCGTGGTCGCCGTTATGGTCAAGGCACCACTGTACTTCAACAACGTCGCCGGGCTTGTATGTAGCAACAGGCTCCATACCCCAGGACCCGAATCCGCCGGGCTTGTTGTAATCAACGCTCACACGTGCATTGTAGCCACATGGACCGCTGCGGCCGACTTTAGCAGTCGTGAGATCGGGCCATGCTGTGACGGGCTCGAGGATGGTACATTCGGGACAAGTGTCTTTGCCAGTCTGTAATGTCGTTCATGTCAGCTCCTTTCCGATCATGGGATCGAACCGAAGATGCCTAGGAGTGCTCACCTGGGCATTCAAACCTGTCCGACTCATTGGAGATGACAGATACCCATGAGCTTGGACGCCTGCCGCGAAGGCGAGAAAGTTGAACCCCAAGGAGTGCATGGCTTTGGTCAATAATGAAAAAGAATAGCCTGCCTTAAGGGGAAAGAGAGGCTATTGCTCGCAACAAAGACGTATTGAGGGGCGAAGACGTTCGAGGGAGTGCGGCTTGTGAAATTGAAGTGCAGCTAGACGTGATGGCATCGATACACGAACCACTCCGATACTTATACCTTGTTCTCCACGGCACGATTGATTTTGATCATTGACGTTGTGTACGAGCCAGGACCGAAGCTTCAGGCCAGCAGACTGCGCCCGGCAGCTGTGATTATCGTAATGCTGCCCTGCATCCGACATCCCGCCAGTAATCTGTAGTTGAGGTCCGCATGACGGGGTATGTGCGATCGTTGTGAGTGCGGGACAAGCATTGAAGCGCCCGAAGATTAATATATTTACGGTGCCCTTTGGTGATGTGCGGGGCTCCGCATACAAATATCCGGGGAAGCGATATGGGACACGAGGGCACAAGGCCACATCTGGCTAGGATTCCGTTTCTAGCGTTTTCTCGAACTCGGTTGCATTCATGATGCCGTAGCCAAGCTTTGTAGGGCAAGCACATGTGGTAAATAACATGACGCCAAGAGCAATTATGGAAGGCTATGTAGCTGCCTCTTCGGGTCAGTTTGACCGCTCTCCTGCGTCTTAGGTTGTGGTCGAGGTTGACCTAACCAGCTGATTGGTCATTAGTCGGACCGGCATAAGACGGTGTCCACTTCGATCAACGTAGTAGACATTGGTGGTAAGTCGGCCCGCTGTGATGCACCCATCAATTCGTCTTAGCGACATAGGGGATAGTCTCGTTCGGGCTTTGTAAGCGATGGTACTCTCACATTCTTGTTACATGTCTCGTTCTAGTTCAACCTCTTTCACGCGCCCAGCAACTCCCGCCCCGGCTACGGAGTACTGATGGGGAAGGCATGTCGTATTAGGAGTGGCCCGAGTATTGGTAGAGATTTATGGCGAGAGCGGAGCGTCGAAGACGTTGCTTAACGCCCTTGTAAGGTAGTTAGTAAGGCAGGTAGATAGTATAACGTACTTTACTAGCAAGCCGACTACACTACCGACTCGACTACTTTTACTAAGCCTCTACTAAAAAGCCGCTATCTTAGTTAGATTACTCTAACTCTAAGCTACTTAAGATAAATCTAGATAAGCTATCTAACTTATCTATATTATCTTTAACTATCTATAATAGTTTAGCTTAGTATTTACTAGAGTTATATAACCTCGCCTAGCGTCTTAGCACTTAGCTCTCTATATATAGAGAGCTCTTAGAGTCTTTTTTTACTTCTTACCTTTAGATAGCTAAATTTAACCTAATCTACTCTACTTATTACTCTTATTCTTATAGCTTATAGCTAGCTTCTAGTCTTTACTACTATACGTTAAGCTCTAGAACACCTAGCTAGGTAAGTCGATTATAGGTAATACGGTCTCTATAAGCTATAAGAATAAAAGCGATAAGTAGAGTAGATTAGATTAAATTTAGCTATCTAAAGGTAAGAAGTAAAAGAAGACTCTAAGAGCTCTCTATATATAGAGAGCTAAGCGCTAAAACGCTAGGTAAGATTATATAACTCTAGTAAATACTAAGCTAGACTATTATATTACTTCTCTTTATAGAGAGAGCTTATTCTTAAGCTCTAAAGTATACCTATAAAATTATTCTAGCTATTAACTCTATTACTAAATTACTTTTTACTCTACTTAGCAGAGTTTTTATACTACTCTCTTGTCTTCTACCTATATAGGTTTTAAATTCTTTACTATTTTCTATAGAGTCTTCTCTCTTTTATATCTAGACGCTACTTACGTAAGTCTATAACTAGCGCCTTAGTATCTATATAGATATCTTCTATAGCTTACTAAGTCTTCTACTTCTTATAGTATAATATAGTTAATTACCTTTACGCTTACTTTATAATAGTTTATACTATTCTTCTATAAGACTCTACTATCTTATAATAGTATTCTTAGCGCTATACTAGAGTTCTAGAAAGTATAAGAGCTAGCTTCTAGTCTCTACTACTATATATTAAGCTCTAGAATACCTAGGTAGATAAGTTAATTATAGGTAATATAGTCTCTATAAGCTATAAGAATAAGAGTAATAAGTAGAGTAGGTTAGGTTAAATTTAGCTATCTAAAGATAAGAAGTAGAAGAATACTCTAAGAGCTCTTTATATATAGAGAGCTAAGCGCTAAAACGCTAGATAAGATTATATAACTTAGGTAAGGTTATATAACTCTAGTAAATACTAAGCTAGACTATTATATTACCTTCTCTTATAGAGAGAGCTTATTCTTAAGCTCTAAAATACGTCTCTAAAACTATTCTAGCTATTAACTCTAGTACTAAATTACTCTTAGCTCTACTTAGTAGCGCCTTTACGTTACTCTTATATCTTCTACTCGTATAGGTTTTAAATTCTTTACTATCTTCTATAGAGTCTTCTCTTTTTTATATACCTTAATTTAAGTATCTAATTATAATAGCAGCTCTAGCTTATCTAGATATACTATATAAAAGTCTCTTACCTTATAGAGAGCGTTAATAAAGCCTATAGTATTATACTAGGTAGAGTTAGAATTATAAGTAACCTATATAGCTTAGTATTAAAGGTAACCTTAATAGAGGTAGCTATTTAGTATCTTATATATAGGCTATTCTAGATTACTATTAACTTTAATAGGTAGCTACTTAGGCTCTACCTACTCTAGTAATAGCTCTAAGACTTTTCTTAGCTAATTAGCGTAAAAGATATTATGTATACGTATATACGTAGATAGCTAGAGCTAGAAAAAGTAACTCTTTATAGTAATAATTAAGTAAGAGCTATACATCTATTAATTAAGCTTTATACTAGGCTAATCTATTAAAAAGCTATAAGGTTTAATATAGACAAGGTTGCCTATAGTAAAATTAGATTCTTAGCGCTTTTTATTTACCTAGAGCGCCTGCCTAGCTTACGCTTTCGCGATATTACTTCGTGTAATCTTAGTAGCTTTTTTTTATAGTATTATACTAATTCTTAGTAAAAGCTTAAGCTTCTTAGCGCAAGAGACGCTTACGTAGAGTAGAGACTCTTATTATATACTTCTTCTAATTCTAGTAGTATATTAGCTAGTATCTAAATTTAATTTTATATAATAATAGTCTAGTTATTTTATATAATAGCGTAGCTTATATAAGAAATAGAATAGTAGAAAAGAATATTATCGAATTATCTACCTAAAGTTCGGCGTAACTTTAGTTACCTATATACAAGATAATTATAAATAACTTCTTTATTTAGTATTTTACTATTTTTTAATGCCGTTAGTACTATTAGTTTCCGAGTTTTAGATAGTTAAATCTCGTGTTTTACTTATACGGAAGTAATAATCTCTAAGTTTTAGATAGTTAAATCTTGTGTTTTACTTATGCGAAAGTAATAATTTTCGAGTATTAGATTTTTAAACTTTCGAACATATTTGTTATGTAGATCTTTTATCTTTCGAATATATTTATTATGCGAATCTTCTAGGTTTCGAATAGTCTTATATAATATTATAACTTATATTATAGCTATAATAATAATATTATTAATATAATAGTATAGTATACTATTAAGATTATAAAGCTCGAAATTATATATTTTTATAAAATTCTAAAGTAAATATTTAACTTTTTTATTTTATATTTAATTTAGTTATATTTTTAAATATACGTTATATATATATGCCTAACTTTTATAATATTCTTAAAGTCTATAATTTATTTTTTATTGTTTTGTTATATAATTTCTAAAAGCTTGTTTTTATTTATTATTTATTGTAACAACTTTATATTTTTACTTATTATAAAATGTTTTTATTAATTTTATTTAATTTATTATTACGTATTTATTAAACATATAATGTGTAATAATATATAGTAGTTTAATAAAAAATATTAGATTACGTAATATATTTTTTCTAGATTTTCTAGATTTTCTAGATTTTATTTTTAGTACTTTTTTCTACTTATTCTTAATAGCAAAATTCTAATAATCTATATTATATTATTACTATTATTTCTAATAGCTTATACCTAGTCTATATAGAGTAAAAGATCTAACTAATTATTCTAGTAGTAGTTAATAAATAGACGTAGACGTTAATTAAGGTATTAATTAATAATCTTTATATTTTTATTAGTTTACGAGTAATACGTAGTAGAAAGCTTTTACTTAATTCTAGTAAGCTTATAGAGCTTATCTATAAAGATAGAAATAAACTATAGACTATAATCTAATATAATAAATCTAGAAGAACTATATATACGCTAGATATATTAATAATATAGCTTTACTATACGTTAAGCTATAATTTTTTTATAATAGAGTAGAGAGAAGCTCTACTTACTTAGCTAATTTATAATAATATTTACGTAGTTAAATTCTTTCTTATTAGAGAGAAAGCTCTTAAAATCTATAGAGACGTTCTACTATACTTTCTTAGAAATAGGTAGAGGCTTTAGAAGACTTAGCATCTTATTACGTAGTACGTAGCTTTAGTAGTAAGCCTTATATACTACTACGTACGTATTAACGTCTTTTTATATACTAGGCTAGTAATATTAATCTTATAGTAACTAGATAGTCTTTTAGTACTCTAAATAGGTAGTTACTAAAGTAGTATATATAGCGCGTATTAAATATACTTATAGATAGTTAATAGTAGAGACTATTAATTAATTCTAATATATTAGTAAGCTAGCTTCTATTTTCTAGGTAGAGTCTAATATAGTAGCTTTCTCTTAGGCTAGCTATAGAGATTTGTCTAATTAATTAGTAGTAATAATCTAGTTAATTATAGTATAGAGGTTCTCTATAGAAGGTACCTTTATAAAGGTATTAGTAGACGTAATTTTTATAACGCTGCTCGCTAGCCTCTTAGTAGCTAGAGTAGCTAGCTTACCTAAAATTCGCTTAATAGTAGAGAGGCTAATTTGTTTCTTACTTAGAAAAGCTCTTGTATAAGTAGTGTAATTCTTCTTCTTTTAGATCTTAAGTTCTTTCTACTTTTATAATAACGCGTTAGCTACTATATTAGCTAAACCTAGTTAATATATAAGCTTAAGGTTATAGTTAGTAATATTATTAGTCTAGTAAACCT